GAAGCTGCTCCCATCAGTGAACCAGACGAGGTCGGCGTCAGGAAGTGGGCGATCCTGCAGGTCTTCTCGAACTCCGTGCACCTGAGCTAGTATCTCGGTGCAGTCATGGAGTGGGGCGTCCAGGTCCGGGTTGGGCAGCAGCGAGGCAGGGTTTAAGGTCGTTGGGGGCAGGAAAGTTATCCTGAGAGGATTTAGTAGTATCCTTGGTAGTGGGTGAGTCGGGCGTTACTCATCCATCGATTGGGTGGCTGTTTGAGTACACCTTCGATGGCATGTGGGGTAACGACCCGCAATTCTTGCCCCATGACAAGCTTATCAGCATCCTGCACCATCAGAGCCGTGGCTGCAATCATTCGGAGACAAGGGGGCCACCCGGCAGCCACTGGGTCTAACTTCTTTGACAGGTAGGCAACTGGCCTCCGCCAGGGGCCTAAGTTTTGAGTTATTACTGCCTTAGCGATACCTTTATTTTCATCTATGTATAAGTGGAAGGCTTGTAACATCAGGTAGTCCCAGTGCAGGCGCGGAGAGTAGGGCAGTTTTAATCTGTTGGAAAGCCGACTCGGCTTCGTCTGTCCACTTAAATGGCTGCTGCCCCCGTGTTGCCTGATATAGGGGTTTAGCCAGTTCTGCGAACCCAAGTATCCATAGTCTGCAAAACCCCGCTGACCCCAGGAATTCCCTCACTTGTCGGGTGGATTGCGGCCTGGGGATCTGCAGAACAGTTTGTTTTCGGGCGTCTGTTAACCAGCGCTGCCCTTCTTTAAGCAGGTATCCTAGGTATGTTACCTCTGATTTACAGATTTGAGCTTTCTTTGCTGAGGCTCGGTATCCTAGATTTCCCAGAGCTTGTAAGAGACCTTTGGTCCCTTGGATGCAAGCTTCTTGGGTCTCAGCAGCAATCAGGAGGTCATCAACATACTGTAGTAAGGTTATTTCAGGGTGTTTGCGTCGGTACTCACCCAGGTCTTCATGGAGGGCCTCATCGAACAGGGTAGGAGAGTTTTTGAATCCTTGCGGCAGTCTGGTCCATGTCAGTTGGCCACTTATGCCTCTATCAGGGTCATTCCACTCGAAGGCGAAGAGCTTTTGGCTCTGAGGGGCTAAAGGCAAACTGAAGAAAGCATCTTTTAAATCTAAAACAGTGTACCATTGATGTTTAGGGTTTAGGGTGCTTAGGAGGGTATATGGGTTAGGCACAGTTGGGTGTATGTCCACAACTCTCTTATTGATTTCTCTTAAGTCTTGTACAGGTCTGTATTCTCCACTATTAGGTTTTCGTACCGGCAACAATGGAGTATTCCAGGGTGAGTGACATGAGCAGAGGATTCCTTGGTCAAGGAGCCGGCGGATATGCGGGGCAATTCCTTTCTTGGCCTCTAGGGGCATCGGGTATTGGCGTACCCGCACGGGGTCTGCCCCAGGTTTAAGTTCAACAAATAAAGCAGGACGGTGTTTTGCTAGTCCTAAGCCCCCCGTTTCCGCCCAAGCTTCTGGATATTGCTGGAGCCAGGTTGCTATGTCCTGGTCAGGGGCCGGTTGCTCCTGGTGGAGCCGGTACTCATCTTCTAGCGTTATAGTTAGGACGGACACGGGTTGATTGTGGGAGTTGGTCACGATGGGCCCCTCAGGGAGGAAATGGATCTGTGCTCCCATTTTAGTTAGCAGGTCTCTCCCTAATAGGGGACAGGGGCTCTCAGGGATAACCAGGAAAGAATGGGTTACATTCTTGGCTCCGAGGTTTACTGTTCTTTGTGTTGTCCATGGGTATTTCTTAACTCCTGTGGCCCCTTGTACCCACGAGGACTTGGAGGATAATTTTCCATTAGTTTTAACTAAGACTGAGTGCTGTGCTCCCGTATCGACCAAGAACTGGACTGGGGACCCCTCCACTTGCAAAGTTACCCTAGGTTCGGGGAGGGGATCCGAACCCCGTCTTCCCTAGTCTTCATTTGAGTGACTAGTACGGGTGTAGACCTAGGGGGTCCCTGTCCTCGTTGTTTCTTTTTGGGGCAGTCTCTTACCCAGTGGCCAGCCTCCTTGCAGTAGGCACATTGGTCTTTTTTCAGATTATCATGCCTGGGGGGCCGCCTGGGTTGGGTGTACTCTGGCTGTAGATGCTCTTTCTGTACTACTGCTGCCAGGACCTTGGTCATTTTTTCAGTGGCCTTAAATTGCCTTTCTTCTGGAGTATCTCTGTTATTGTAAACCCGCTGGGCTATCTGAAGGAGGTCCTGAATCCGCTTTCCTTCCAAGTCTTCTAATTTCTGGAGTTTTCTTTTAATATCTGGGGCTGCCTGATTTACGAATGACATTACAATAGCTGCCTGACTTCCTGGAGCCTCTGGATCTATGGGGGTGTACTGTCTAAAAGCTTCCATTAATCTTTCTAAGTAGGTGGCTGGGCTCTCTGTCTTTTCTTGCAGAATAGAATATACTTTAGCCAAATTAGTGGGCTTGCGAGCAGCTGCCCGGAGACCTGCCATTAGAGTCTGGCGATAAAGGCGTAGCCGTCCCCTACCTTCTGCCGTATTGTAGTCCCATGCCGGCCTGGTCAGAGGAAAGGTCGCGTTTATGAGGTCGGGGTTGGCAGTCGGTTGACCGTCGTCCCCCGGGACCAGCTTTCTAGCTTCTACCTGTATTCTCTCTCGCTCTTCCGTGGTAAACAAGATTCGGAGGAGCTGCTGACAATCGTCCCAAGTGGGCTGGTGGGTGAACATGACACTATCCAGTAAAGACAGTAAATCTTTGGGGTTGTCTGAAAACTGAGCACTCTGAGTCTTCCAGTTATACAGATCACTGGTGGAGAATGGCCAGTACTGGAGCCTGGGGATTCCTGTGTCATCTGGGGGTCCTATTTCCCGGAGGGGTAAAGCCACCGTGGAGTCAGGCGGCTGGGGGGGGCTAGTCCGCAAAGTGCGCCCTCGCGTCCGCCCCGCCGGCCCCTCAAAGTTACTTTCTCTTTCAGCAGGCCCGTGAGTGGCGGCCGCCTCCTCTCCGCCTGCTCTCTCCCGCGACTCAGCCCGAGGGGCCGGAACCTGGGGCCCGGAGGGGTACGGAGGGGGTTCTGTGAACAGTGGGTCCCCGCTATCAGGTAGAACAGGATGGGAGGGGGCAGTTGGTTGCTTGGTTTTTAGTGGTCGAGCAACCAGTGCCTTAGAGGGTTCAGAGGCTAATTGGAAAGGGGACAGCCAAGGAGGCGGGTTTTCAACAAGGTCCTGCCATATGAGGATGTATGGGATTTGGTCTAAGTGGCCCGCATGTCCAGGTAGGAAAATCTTGGATTTTACCCTAGTGATGACAGCAAGTCGGAAGGTCCCTTCGGGTGGCCACCCCACATCAAAGGCAGGCCACTCGGAGCGACACAGAGTAATTAGCTTTCCTTTCCTGATTTCATACCAAGATCATGGCCCCTTGCTCTAACTTCTTTGAAATCATTTGTAAGGAGAGATAGAGGAGTACTCTGGGTATTGCCCATCCTGTAATGATTTGTAGTCCTTTCCTGTAAAGGAATGTGGGTTAGAATCCCAATAGAGGAAATCTGATCTGACTTATTACTGATAGCTAGCCGGGAGTGCGGCGCCGGAAGCCGGGAGCCGGGGGACCGGGGCCGGAAGTGTGGCACCGGAAGCCGGGAGCCCGGGGACCGGGGCCGGAAGTGTGGCACCGGAAGCTGGGGAGCCCGGGGACCGGGGCCGGAAGTGTGGCACCGGAAGCTGGGGAGCCCCGGGACCGGGGCCGGAGTGTGGCACCGGAAGCCGGGAGCCCGGGGACCGGGGCCGGGAGGCGCGCCGGAAGCCGGGAGCCCGGGGACCGGGGCCGCGAGCGCGCGCCGGAAGCCGGGAGCCCGGGGACCGGGGCCGCGAGCGCGGCGGCCGGAAGCGGGCCGGGAAGCCGGGGCCCGGGGACCGGGGCAATTCAGACGCAGGCGCGCACCCGGGGACCGGGGCAATTCAGACGCAGGCGCGCACCCGGGGACCGGGGCAATTCAGACGGCAGGCGCGCACCCGGGGACCGGGGCAATTCAGACGGCAGGCGCGCACCCGGGGACCGGGGCAATTCAGACGGCAGGCGCGCACCCGGGGACCGGGGCAATTCAGACGGCAGGCGCGCACCCGGGGACCGGGGCAATTCAGACGGCAGGCGCGCACCCGGGGACCGGGGCAATTCAGACGGCAGGCGCGCACCCGGGACCGGGGCAATTCAGACGGCAGGCGCGCACCCGGGGACCGGGGCAATTCAGACGGTTGCCCGGATCGCGAACCCGCTCCGGCAACTCAGATCGCAATTTAAATCAGAAGAGAGCCAGGGGACGTCTCCCACCGGTCTCCACTGGCTGTCCTATAGCGCGTCCGCCAGGACTGTGCCAGCCTCAGTTTCAGACCTCGCGAGTCAGAGATTCAGATTCAGAACAGACACACAGACACAGACAGACAAACGGAGACGAGCCAGCTCACCTATCAGTAGATCGATCCTAGCAGATCCGTTGACCAGGGGTCTGGTGGGCTTGGGGAATCCCGGACGAGCCCCCAGATGTTATGCCCAGACTGTTTGTTCCCCAAAGAAGACCACCAGAGTCCAGAGTCAAAGCCAAGCGGCAAGGATCTTTACTACAAGTTCGAACTTGGTCCCTCCTTTACACAGTATACAAGAGGGCCCCGAACAATGCGAGCGTTTGCTTTTTATAGCCCGAAAGTTGTAGGGGAACAAAGAAATTCCTGCGCTTTCAGTAACCTTGTACGGCTGTCTCCTTATCGGAGACTTTCCAGGTGGTGTTTGTACTGAGCTCAGGGAGTTTGAGAGATATATGGTGGTGGGATGGGAGGATGGGATGTGTTTGTGCTAGGCTCAGGGAGTTTTGAGCCCGGGGCTGAGGAATGTGCCCAGCTCCTTTCACTTCTGACAGAGAGTGCCAGTGTTCCACAGATCTCCTCCCGTCCCGGCCCCTGCAGAGACAGCAGCCACCTAAGAACGCCTCCTGCGGCAGCACAGCCACCTGCCTCATCTCGTTACTGATGGGCACAGAAGGGTGTAGAAGGTTCCCAATCTCTCGAAGGTTCTCAAATCGCTCTGCTTCCAGCTTTATCCGCTCCGCTTCACACTTCAGGATGGCTTTGTCAATGAGGAGTCGGACTTGATTTGTGAGATTTTCAGGTTCTGTAGATGAACAGGCCAGGCCCATAAGCAGGACAGCGAGGCAAGGACAGCACAGGAATAAGATTTGGTTGCCCTAACCCTGTTGTGCTCTAAAGAGAGCCCTTGCGATAGCATTTTAAAAACTGGAAACGAAGACTTTTAAGAACTGAGATTGATTTCACACACGGATATACACAGTCTTGCTCTACAAATCCATCGGCATTTTTCCTTGGTGGTGCTTGAGGCAGAGATGGATAGTTCTGGCCATTCCCATTGTTCCCATACATCGCAGAAATGTTAGTACTGCCGCTCTTATGAGAACTTTCCCTTAATCTGCAGTTTCTGATTTTCTTGAGTGAACCAATTTAGCACTCTATTGATATGCTGCATTTAACTGTTCTCCAGGAAGATTATAAATTTATTAGGAGTAAGAGATTTGTCTGAAGCATATTTTTGGATTCTGTATTGCAGCTGTTTCAAACTGTGCTCTGACTTCTTTGAGGCGAGTGGTTTAGCAGTAGGGCCAGGCAGGCTCAGGCCCCCAATCCGAGCCCTTCAAGCACAGCAACTTTGCTTTTTTGGTTTATGTTCTTGCTATATGTTAAGGGTTTCAAGAAAGGGTTCAGTGACTAAAAAACTCAAAAATTACTCCTCTTGCCCAGCACACTAAATATTTACTGTATTACAGTAAGTTGAAGTTTCTTGCCTTTGTGTAACAAAGGGTAGAAAATGGAGCTATATAAACCAACACAGTTCCTTTCCTTTTTCTGTTCTCCTACCCTTGATTCTCCCACTCCATCTGTCTCCATCTCCGCTGTCTAATAAATACTCAATATAGATATAACAAGAATGGGTGGGGACATTTCCCAGCAGCAGAAATGAAAGGATGTCACAATGCTGTGCACAGCAGGTTGAGCACTTTTCTAGGATAAAAAGACAAAAAGCAGAGATCCTAACAGAAAGGACCTAATTACAGTAAAGGTCTGCAGTAGGTCTCGAAATTCAACAGTCTCTGGACGACTATATCTCACTGGCTCTTTTCTGCAGGAAGAAAAAAACACAAATCAATAAAAGAAATGGATTGTTTTATAAAGAACACCACGTATATAAAGATCGCAGAACTCCTAAAAATTTTCTAAAAGATACAACATGTAGGAAAAAAATTAGTACACTGGAAGCCAGAAGTCAAAGTGTCAAGCCCCTATGCTGCCACTTAATAGCGTTTTGGTCCTAAAATCAATTAATCTGTCTGGGTCAGAGAATTAACATCCTGAAGAATAGGAGAAGAATGTCACTCCCTGTGCGTAGGTCTTCATAGGAATCAGAAGAGAATTGATTTGAAATGCTCATGAGCTACAAGCCCGGGAGAGGCAGCGCAGTGCTCAGAAGCAAGCCCTGGGGCAGACACACCTGTGTGTGGATTCTTTTTTTTTTTTTTGGAGGGAGTCTCACTCTGTCGCCCAGGCTGGAGTGCAGTTTGCGTGCTCTCGGCTCACTGCAACTTCCACCTCCCGGTTTCAAGTGATTCTCCTGCCTCAGCCTCCCAAGTAGCTGGGATTACAGTAGTGCGCCACCACATCTGGATAATTTTTTTTTTTTTTTGTATTTTTAATAGAGACAGGGTTTTATTATGTTGAACAGGGTGATCTCAAACTCCTGGTCTCAAGTGATCCCCCACCTTGACCTCCCAAAGTACAGGGATTACAGGCATGAGCCACTGCATCCACCCCAAGTGTAGATTCTTATCTACCTGCTAACAACAATCCCAGCATTGAGGCTAAGGGGGAAAGATGGATGGAGCGATGAAATATCAGACAGCCAAGGAAAACAAACAAACAAAAAGTCACAGGATCTGGAACTAAGTTTAGAACAATCAATGCAATTTACACAATGGCAGGGGTATAACCAGGGCTGGATTTTGTTCTCTCTAGTTTCTCTTCTCGTCCTTCTGTATGATAATTCTGCTAAATCATCACTTGTAATCCTTGCACAAAACCAGGTGAATTTAAGAAGATCCCTTAAAGAGTTAAATTCTTCTTAAATTAAAAACAGTTGGCAGGGCCCTGTGGCTCATGCCTGTAATCCCAGCATTTTGGGAGGCTGAGGCAGGTGGATCATGAGGTCAGGAGTTCAAGGCCTGCCTGGCCAAGATGGTGAAACCCCTTCTCTACTAAAAATACAAAATTAGGCAGGCGTGGTAGCAGACACCTGTAATCCCAACTACTCGGGAGGCTGAGGCAGAAGAATCACTTGAACTTGGGGGGCGGAGGTTGCAGTGAGCCAAGATCATGCCACTGCACTCCAGCCTGGGTGACAGAGTGAGACTCCGTCTCCAAAAAAAAAAAAAGAGTTGGCCGGGCACAGTGGCTCACGCCTGTAATCCCAGCACTTTGGGAGGCCGAGGCAGGCGGATCACAAGGTCAGGAGATAGAGACTATCTGGCTAACATGGTGAAATCCCATCTCTACCAAAAACACACACGAAAAAATTAGCCGGGCATTGTGGCAGGTGCCTGTAGTCCCAGCTACTCGACAGGAGAATAGAGTGAACCTGGGAGGCGGAGGTTGCAGTGAGTCGAGATCGCACCACTGCACTCCAGCCTTGGCCACAGATTGAGACTCTGTCTCAAAAAAAAAAGAGTTAAAGAAAGTTAGTCAAAGGCCATTATAATAAGATATATGAGACTTCAACAAAACTTGCATAAGAATATTTAGCATCTGCTTTGTAAGTATAAATAAAACAAAGTATAACCAGGTATAGTGGCTTGCAACTGTAATCCCAGCTACATGGTAGGTTGAGGTGGGAGGATCACTTTAGCCCAAGAGTTCAAGACCAGCCTGGGCAGCAGAGTGAGACCTCATATCTAAATATATAAATATATATATTTTAAATTAGCCAGGCATAGTGGAGTACACCTGTACTCTCAGCTACTTGGGAGGATGAGGCGGGGGGATTGCATGAGCCCAGGAATTAGAGGCTGTGGTGAGCTATGCTTGTGCCACTGTACTGCAGCCTGGGTGACTTTAAAAAATTAGCCAGGCACAATGACATATGTCTATAGTCCTAGTTACTTAAGAGGCTGAGGTGGGAGGACCGCTTGAGCCAAGGAGTTGGAGGTTGTAGTGATCTATGATCATGCCACCGCACTCTAGCCTGGGCAACAGAGCAAGACACTGTCTCAAAAAAAGAAGAAAGAAAGAACAAAAGGACTAAATCTCCTAAATGTAAAGCATAGAAATCCTTTAGGTTCATTACACATTCTCATATGATCAAAATTCTAACTATAACTCCACTCACACCCTTCAGTGACTCAGAGCAAAATCATCTTAAAAAGCTAGAAAAATCTGGCCAGGTGCAGTGGCAACATAGGGAGACTCCATCTCTACGAAAAAAAAAAAAATTAGCCGAGTGTGGTGGCATGCTACTAGGGAGGCTGAGGCAGGAGGACTGCTTGGGCCCAGGAGGTTGAGGCTGCAGTGAGCCATGATTGTGCCACTGCACTCCAGCCTGGGCAACAAAACAAGACTTTGTGTCAAAAACAAGAAAAAAAGTTGGAAAAATCTGAAACTATCAGAATGAGTCTTGATAAGAATAAACAGACTATAGAGGTAGGGAAAAAATGGACTAAATCTCAAGATTTTTGCAATGGCATCATAGGCAGGGTGATATGTTAGCAAGATAGTTACCAGGCTCCCTTGCTATTTGATAGTCCCTCAGAGCAGCAAATTCAAGTTCAGAGCTCAAGGTTTGACTCTGCAACTAAGTTAGAGTATGATTTTAAGCAAGCTCTTTAATTTCCTAAGCCGATTCCTATACCCATGAAATAGGGCTGACAAATGTACTATCTGCACTCCAACTTTGCAGTAAGGATGAAAACTAAAATGAGATGTCTGTGAAAGTATCTGAATGTTTTCGAGTGCTCTACAAATTAAAGCACTATCATTACCATTTCAGTGGCAGCGGGAGTGAACACTGCCTGCATGGCTAGCAACAAAATCAGATCTAAGAATGTTATTGTAAATGACAACACTCACAATCCCATCTTCTTGCTACAAAAAACACCCAGCTGGCACTGACTGTACATAGGTCCCAAAGAACACCCAGGGAGGAGTATGCATGGGAATTAACATAAGTATGGGGTCTGTAGCATGCAAATGACTAAGTCCCACAGAAAGAAACTGGATGATTATCAATACCACTTTCCACAGCTAAAAGTGTTACACGCTGAAAGTTTAACAAAATATTGTCAAAGTGGCCGGGCGCGGTGGCTCAAGCCTATAATCCCAGCACTTTGGGAGGCCGAGGCGGGCGGATCACGAGGTCAGGAGATCGAGACCATCCTGGCTGACACGGTGAAACCCCGTCTCTACTAAGAAATACAAAAAACTAGCCGGGCGAGGTGGCGGGCGCCTGTAGTCCCAGCTACTGGGGAGGCTGAGGCAGGAGAATGGCGTGAACCCGGGAGGCGGAGCTTGCAGGGAGCTGAGATCCGGCCACTGCACTCCAGCCCGGGCGGCAGAGCGAGACTCCGTCTCAAAAAAAAAAAAAAAAAAAAAAAAAAATTGTCAAAGAGAAAGATGCCGACTGTCATGAAGTCAAGTGTAAGGTGCTAGAATCCCAAGGTCATCTTTTTATGCTCTTTACTGGTGTGGTTCCAAAGTTCTATAATGTTTTTTGTTGTTGTTGTTTAGTTTTGAGGTTTACAACTTAAAAGTTATCTAGATTGAAAGTGCACTTAATTAATTCTTTTTTTTTTTTTTTTTGAGACAGGGTTTCACTGGAAACCCAGGCTGGAGTTCAGTAGCGCAATCTTGGCTCACTGCAACTTTTACCTCTTGGCTTCAAGTGATCTCCCACCTCAGCCTCCTGAGTAGCTGGAACTACAGGTGCCGGCTGCCAAGCCTGGCTAATTGTTTTATTTTATTTTTGTAGAGACGGGGTTTCACCATGTTGTGCAGACTGGTCTTAAACTCCTGAGCTCAAGCAATTTGCCCACCTCGGCCTCCCAAAGTGCTAGGACTACAGGCGTGAACTACTGTACCCAGCTATAATATGTAATATAATATGATTAAGGGGCTAAACAGGTATTTTTGAAGAAGGGTTAAAAACATGAACTATTCTGGATACTAAAGCAAAAGCTGAGCTGAAACGTGATATTTTTCAGGCATAGGAAGGATTTTTTTTGGATGAAGGCCAGTAACATTACTTGCCATTCATTGTAACTCACAATTGCTGAACAAATACATGTTCTTGACACTATGCCAAATTTTCTACATTTGAAAGAAATTTAGTTCTATCCATAACTATTGCTTGGTGTTTAAATTTTTTTAAAAAGTTCTAACAATTCCATTCTATAGGTTTTAGCATTGTCATTTTATAGATGAGAAAACTGAGGCTCAGACGTTAACTTGCCTAAAAGTCACATAACGTAGCAAGATTTGAACTCTGAATCTGCACTGTTTTCATTCTGGAGCACAACTACACTGAGACGACAAATCTGAAATCTGCCATTAAAAAAGATGACTGATGGAATTTATATTTCTAATGTAAGAACAGAATAGACAACAAACGGCTAGACAACAAAGAATCTTACCTGAACACGGAAGATGGACTTGTGGTAAAGTATATGAAAGTGCCTCCAAGTTCCCTGCCTCCCTATCTTTTCAAAATAATATGTTCCCCTTTGGTAAGAAATTGAACATCTTGTAGACTTAAACACTGAGTTAGAACTTCTGTGAACATTAGCTAAGAGCAAGATCAAATATCTCCGCTCAAGCTCTCACGGCTGTTTGTTCCTCAGTTCTCTTACCTTCATTTTCTCTCCGATCGTCTTGCTGCATAGGTTCTTCAGCTTGTTCAAGTTGTCTGCCCGAAATCTACCTAGGAATAAAGAATCCAAGAATATACCAAACAAATGCCCATAATTAAGATACTCCCTTCTCCTGATCTTGACTTCTTAGTACTGATCTCAGGTTAAGGCCTAAATGCCAGCAGAGCTGAAGGATCTGCCTCATGAAGTTATAAACTCTTAGAGCTTTATTTATTTATTTATTTATTATTATTTTTTGGAGACGGCGTCTCGCTCTTGTTGCCCAAGCTGGAGTGTAGTGGTGCAATCTTGGCTTACTGCAACTTCCGCCTCCCAAGTTCAAGCGATTCTCCTGCCACAACCTCCCGAGTAGCTGGGATTATAGGTGCCCGCCACCACGCCCAGCTAATTTTTGTATTTTTAGAAGAGACGGGGCTTTACCACGTTGGCCAGGCTGGTCTCGAACTCCTGACCTTGGCCTCCCAAAGTGCTGGGATTACAGGCGTGAGCCACTGTGCCCGGCCTAATCTTAGAGCTTTAGAGCCCCAAATGTAGTTGGCATACAATGGTGACTACAATGGTGTCCCCAGCATTTGGTGACAAGGAAAAGATGGTTCTGAGGTTAAAATTTAACAGTATCATAACATGTATGACACCACTATAGAGTGACACATCTGGAAAACTTGGAAGACACTCAAGTAACTAACCTGCCCAATTATCTTAAAACTCATTTAAGGAAACTAGGTGCTATGCACAGGACTCTATAAAGAGTGCAGTCATGATTGCTACCTCTCCTTGCTAGAAATGGCTAATGTTACCCTTTTACTTTGATACAATGCTCCTCTGGCAGCCTTGAAAGTAATTTAGTCTCTTATAATTTGGTTTCCTTTGGGGGAAGACAGTGCACTAACTAATCAACATTATTGGCCCAAATTAATATATTGGTATCATGGATCATCAGTCTAACTCTGATTGGTAAAATTTGGACCTCTTGGGGGGCCGGGTGCGGTGGCTCAAGCCTGTAATCCCAGCACTTTGGGAGGCTGAGACGGGTGGATCACGAGGTCAGGAGATCGAGACCATCCTGGCTAACACGGTGAAACCCCATCTCTACTAAAAAATACAAAAAACTAGCTGGGCGAGGTGGCGGGCGCCGGTAGTCCCAGCTACTCAGGAGCCTGAGGCAGGAGAATGGCGTGAACCTGGAAGGCGGAGCTTGCAGTGAGCTGAGATCCGGCCACTGCACTCCAGCCCGGACGACAGAGCGAGACTCCATCTCATTAAAAAAAAAAAAAAAAAAAAAAAAAAAATTTGGACCTCTTGAATCTGAACATTAGGGGCAATATGATAAAATTCAAGCACAAGCTTTCTTGTTGCTGTTGAGACAGGGTCTCACTCTGTCACCCAGGCTAGAGTACAGTGGCACAACCTCAGCTTACTGCAACCTCTGCCTCCTGGACTCAAGTGATCCTCCCACCTCAGCCTCCCAGGCAGCTAGGACTACAGGTGTGCGCCACCACACCTAGCTAATTTTTTTAATTTTTATTTTTTGCAGAGATGGAGTTTTGCTGTGTTGCCCAGGCTGGTCGCAAATTCTTGGGCTCAAGCGATCCACCCATTTTGGCCTCCCAAAGTGCTAGAATTACAGGTGTGAGCCATGGCATCCAGCCAAACTCAAGCTTTTAAGAGGCAAAATTGATGACTAGAAATGAGATAACACCTACAGAACCCATTCTTTAGGGTTTTACCAAGGAGCTTTCCTCTTTGATATCTCTTTAACAAAACTTGATGCAAAATGATATCACTATTTTCTCATTCACTTATTCACATTGATAAAAGTATAGAGATGGATAATAGATTAGTGGTTGCTAGGGGTGAAATGGAGGCCAAAGGGAGTGGACTACAAAGAGGCAGCAAGAAGGATCTTTGTGGTGATGAAACAGTTCTGTATCTTGAGCATGGCAGTGGTTACGCAAATTTACACATGGTAAGATTGCAGAGAACTACACACGCACGTGTATAAAACTGGCAAAATCTGAATAAGGTTTGTGGATTGTAGCAATGTCAATTTCTTGGTTTTAATATTTTACTAGAGTTATATAAGATGTTATCATTGGGGAAAACAGGACCTTTCTACTATTTTTCCAACTTCCTGTAAATCTATAATCATTCTGAGATTCCTTCCTATTTGCAAGGCACCGGGGTAGGTATTGGGAGCATAGAAGAAAATAAGGCCAGGTGTGGTGACTCATGCCTGTAATTCCAGCACTTTGGGAGGCTGAAGTGGGTGGGTCGCTTGAGCCCAGGAATTCGAGACCACAGCCTAGGCAATGTGGCAAAACCCTGTCTCTACAAAAAAAAAAAAAAAAAAATACAAAAATTAGCTGAGCATGGTGGCGTGTGCCTGTGGTCCCAGCTGCTTGGGAGGCTGAAGTGAGAGGATCACTTGATCCCAGGAGGCAGAGGCTGCAGTGAGCCGAGATCATTCCACTGCACTCCAGCCTGGGTGACAGAACAAGACTCTATCACAAAAGAGAAAAAGAAAAGAAACAAAAAGAAAATAAAACAAAACCGAATATTGTAACAGTGCTGAATGTTTCAATCAATGAATATAGTATATCCCTTCATTACTTTTAATTTCTCTCAGCAATGTTTTATAGTTTTCAGTGTATGAGTCTTAAATGTTATTTATTAGGTGTATCTCTATGTACGTGGTGCTTCTAAACTGTTACTTGTATATAGAAGTACCTTTGATTCTGTGTATTGTATCCAGTGATTTTGTTAGTTATTTAATTTTAATAGTTCAGATTCTGCATACACAATCAAGTGATCTGCAAATAATGACAGTTTCTTCCATTCCAATCTTTTATTTCTGTTTCTTGCCTTATTCATACTGCCTGGGACCTTTGGCATGATGTTGATTAGAAGAGGTGATAACAGACATACTTGTCTTGTTCCTAACCTCAAGGGGAAAGCATTCAACATTTCATCATTAAGAAAAATGTGGCCGGATGCAGTGGCTCACACTTGTAATACCAGCACTTCGGGAGGCCAAGGCGGGCAGATCACGAGATCATGAGATCGAGACCATCCTGGCCAACATGGTGAAAACCCCATTTCTACTAAAAATACAAAAATTAGCTGGGCATGGTGGCACGTACCTGTAGTGCCAGCTACTCAGGAGGCTGAGGCAGGAGAATCGCTTGAACCTAGGAGGCAGAGGTTGCAGTAAGCTGAGGTTGCACCACTGCATTCCAGCCTGGCAACAGAATGAGACTCTGTCTCAAGAAAAAGAAGAGAAGAGAAGAGACAAGACAAGACAAGGGTTTTTCTGTAAGTATCTACTATCAGATTAAGGAAGCTCCCTTCTATTCTCAGTTTATTGCATTTTTATCATGAGCAATTGACTCTCCACATTAAAAAAAATTTTGATCTATCTCACATAAAACACCAAAATTAATATTAAATAAATCTTATACCTAAACGTAAAAAGTAAATAAATAAAATGTCTACAAAAAAAAAAAAAACCAAAAACTGGAGAATCTCTTCTGGAGGTTAAGATATAACATGATTTTCAAAACAGAATACAAATTCTGTGATTTATCTATTGTGTTTTGGAAAAATTAGGAACTTCTATTCATCACAAGACTGAAAGAATGAAAAGGCAAGCCACAGAATGGGAGAGGAGATCTGTGGTATCTGTATCTCACAGGTATTCTTCTATCCACTCTATATAAATAATTCCTATAAACCACTAAGAAAAGGACAAATAAAAATTGGTCAAAAGGCTTGAACAGGTACTTCTCAAAATAGGCCATCCAAATGCCATCAACTTATGAAAAAGCACTCAATATCTTTAGTCACCAAAAAAATGCAAATTAAAATAACACTGAGATACCACGATATATCTACCAGAATGGCTAAATTAAAAGGACTGCCAATGTCAAGTATTGGCAAGAATGCCAAGCAACTGGAACTCTTAGATATTGCTAGTGGGAATATCAATCATTACAACCACCTTGGAAAACTAGTTGGTATTATCTACTAAATCTAAACATGTGCCCACCCTATGATCCAGCAATTCTACTCCTTGGTACATACCCAACAGAAATGAGTGTTTATGTCTACCAAAAGACACACATAAGAATGTACACATGTTCTTTTTTTTTTTTTTTTTTTTTTTTTGAGACGGAGTCTCGATCTGTCGCCCAGGCTGGAGTGCAGTGGCACGATCTCGGCTCACTGCAAGCTCCGCCTCCCGGGCCGACGCCATTCTCCTGCCTCAGCCTCCCGAGTAGCTGGGACCACAGGCGCCCGCCTCCGCGCCCGGCTAATTTTTTGTATTTTTAGTAGAGACGGGGTTTCACCGTTTTAGCCAGGATGGTCTCGATCTCCTGACCTTGTGATCCACCCGCCTCAGCCTCCCAAAGTGCTGGGATTACAGACGTGAGCCACTGTGCCCGGCCAGAATGTACACATGTTCTTATCACAAAATGTAAGTATTTGAGGTGATGGATATGTTAATTAGCTTGCGTTTATTATTCCACATTGTGTTCATAAATCATAACATTACATTGTACCCTATAAATATACACAACTATAATTTGTTAGTTGACAAACATTTTTTTAAAAAGAGTCTCTAGAAGCTTATTCATAATGCCCTCAACCGGTAACAACCCAGTTTATCTAAACGTCATGAAGTAAATAAGCCAGTAGAATTGATTGGCATATTTACATAATGGAGTATTATATAGCAATGAAAAGAACCAACTACTGCTACATGTTAGTAACATGGATGAATCTTACAGACATAATCTTGAAAGAAAGAAGCCATGCCGGGCCCGGTGGCTCATGCCTGTAATCCCAGCACTTCGGGAGGCCGAGGCGGGTGGATCACAAGGTTAGGAGATCAAGACCATCCTGGCTAACATGGTGAAACCCCCCTCTACTAAAATACAAAAAAAATTAGCCAGGTGTGGTGGTGGGCGCCTGTAGTCCCAGCTACTCAGGAGGCTGAGGCAGGAGAATGGTGTGAGCCCAGAAGGTGGAGGTTGCAGTGAGCCAAGATCGTACCACTGCACTCCAGCCCAGGCGACTGAGCAAGACTCTCTCAAAAAAAAAAAAAAAGGAAGCCATATACAAAAGTATATACTACACTAGTCCATTTACATGAAGCTCAAAATCAGGCAAAGGAATTTATGGTGATAGAGGTAAGAATACTATTTTTTTTTTGGAGGAGGGGCTGACTGGGAGGTGGCATAAGGCAATCTGCTGGTGTGCTGTAAATGTCTTATATTTTGACCTGGGTGTTACATTGGTGTATAGATTTAGAAAACTCATCAACCTGTATACTAAGATTTGTGTACTTTACTGTTTATATGTCAATAAAAATAACTTTCCGAAGGGTATATACAGGAATAGTATAGATGCTGTAGGAGAGTTGTAAGATAACATAAGGAGAGCACTCAACAAATGAGGTGGCACTACGAGAGTAGTTGAGTGGCAAAGAGGGCTGACGGAAGTGGGAGCGGCACACCCTGATGAGAAACGTGCCAGGAAGAAGCAACAGTCACAGAGTGTGAAAGAGTCTAGGAGCAGCAATAACAAGCTAGAGCAAAGAGCGGGAGGTCCTGTGCGGGGAGTGTAGACGGCGAGGCCAGGAAGGCACGGGGGACTTTGTAAAGTGTATTCAGAAATTTGGATTTTTATGGTTTAAGGCTGTACTGCCCAATATAGTAGCTTTCAATACCATGTGACTATTAGCATTTGAAATTTGAAATGAGCACCTGAACAGAGTGGTGCTTTAAGTGTGAAACACACTTTGGAGTTTGAGAACTTCTACAAAAAAAAAAAAGTAAAATATCTCAGTAGTTTCAGTAATTTTTTTTTTTTTTTTCAGATGAAGTCTCACTATGTCCTGCAGGCTGGTTTGCAACGGCGCGATCTCGGCTCACTGCAACCCCTGCCTCCTGAGTTCAAGCGATTCTCCTGCCTCGGCCTCCCGAGTAGCTGGGATTACAGGTGCCCACCACCACGCCTGGCTAATTTTTGTTTTTTTTTTTTTGGAGACAGAGTTTTGTTCTGTCACCCAGGTTGGAGTGCAGTGGCGTGATCTCGGCTCACTGCAAGCTCTGCCTCCCAGGTTCACGCCATTCTCCTGCGTCAGCCTCCCGAGTAGCTGGGACTACAGGCGCCCGCCACCTCGCCTGGCTAATTATTTTTGTATTTCTAGTAGAGATGGGGTTTCACCATGTGGGTCAGGCTCATCTCAAACTCCTGACCTCAGGTGATACACCCGCCTCAGCCTCCCAAAGGGCTGGGATTACAGGCGTGAGCCACCGCGCCAGACTAGTTTCAGTAATTTAAAAACACTGATTATATGTTGAAAATATAATTTTGGGGCTGGGCGTGGTGGTTCACCACGCCCAGGCTGACCTCAGTGCACTGGCCAGGCCCCCTACCTTGGAGGAAAATGATTTGATCTTCCCAAAGAATGACTTCTTGCTGGTAAAGATGAGGTCGTCTTCCACATCCTCGCCTTCCATGATGGCACAGCTGTCAGCTGCTGGCAGGTCACAGTCCTTGAGGGTAGCATTCATCACCAGCTTGGAGTACTTGTACTCTAGTCTATAAAACAGGAGGATGGGAAAGACAAGGATCCCAAAACGTGCGAATAAGGGGGAAAGAGGTAGAGAGGTTGGGCTACAAAGAGGTCCTATTCCCATGCCAAGGGTAAGGAGACTGAAGCATGGTAAAACGGTGTCAGGGCTGTGGGACTAGAAGGAATCGTGGTTCCCAGTTCAGTGATCTTTGTTCCTTCAGCCTGTTTCTGTGATCTCAAAGTTCAATAGAAATATCAAAATCTTAATGTCATTCTCTGTATTGTTAAGAATAACAAATTAAGGATATTCTTTGCTTTTCAGAATTTAACATCCATTTATAGACTGCCACGTGGTACCATCCCTGTTCAGGAGTCAGGATAACCACACCATGCACTGGATAAGTGGTTCAACAAGTCTCTGGCCAGAGTCACAGAGTCTGTAGCCAATTCCAGAGAAAAACCCCATTAATTTACACTTTCAGATATTCTCCCTGATCAATAATCCAACCCTGTCCATCCCCAAACTCCAATACCGCATCATGTACTTTTGATTCGTTTTCCAAAAGTAGCAAGTCAAGACGGTGAGCAGGATGGCAGCACAGGTGCCTGCAGAGATGCCCACTTTCAGCCAGAAATCTATGGTTTTGCAGATGGTGACTCTCTGCTCAGGCAGAGAAATGCCACCAGAGCATATCTTGGGTTCTCGCCACACGTAAGTAGTCTTCTGTTGGGGAGAAAAACAAGGAACTCAGATCTCTCATTCCCTTCTCTCGTGGGAGTGCCCGATCAGAGGGAAACCCACCTGGATCCCAGCCACACAGCTGCTGACGATAGCGTGGTAGTCAGCCACTGAGCAGAGCGGGCAAGCAGCCGCACTCTCCCACAGGAAGTGGAAGTTGCAGCCATCACAGGTCCCATCCGAGCACGTTCTAGCAAAGCAGAAAAGAGGCCTGAGCTCTCACTGGCTGGACTGGTGGGGAAGATCTGGTTGGAGGCCTGTTGTCTCATAGCTTGTCTGATTCACCCTCTCTCTGCCCAAACCGTTAGCCCTACCAGGATCCTTCCAACTAGTCCTTAACACAGGTTTTGATCTCTGATTTCACTGATAAGAGGCCTTCCTGGCCTCCAATGGGCTCTCCACCCTCTGCCCGTTTATGTTTTGCTGACATCGTATGAGCTATGTAGTGGGGCGAGACGGACGATCACGAGGTCAGGAGAGAACCATCTGGCTAAACGGAACCCGCTCTAAAAAAAAAAAATAGCCGGGGGGGGGCGCTGGCCAGTTCGGGGGAGGGGAATGGGTGCCGGGGGGGCTTGCGTGAGCTGAGATCGGCACTGCCTCCAGCCTGGCGACGGCGAGCTCCGTCTCAAAAAAAAAAAAAAAAAAAAAGAGAGCTATTGTAAGGTGTCTGAGCTCTAGCACGGCTGTCCCAACAACCCCTTTGAGGTTCCTGTCCTCCCCACAGACTTGTGACATTTGCAATAGCCACTTTGATGCAGCTTCCTGGCGATGGGATTGGAGTTGAGGTGGGGTTCAGGAATGAGCTTCCGGTCATGGATACCTGTTATGTACTTTATTGTGATGTTTACAACGGCAAGAACAGGGATTTGACACTCAGACACCACTACTGGGTCAAGACGCCCTGCTTTGCTCCCCATCTCCCCAGTGAGTTGTTTAGGCACAGCATATCCAAAATGTCTTCCTCGAGACGCCAGTGCCCGTCAAGATGTTAGTTGCTGTTATGCGGGGAGGGGAGGGGGGTGTCCTGTGGTCATATTCATTTGGAAATTTTTGATTTAGTTCACTCAGCTATTAAACTCAGAACTGGGTATTTTCATTGCAGAGAGATTCCTAGGATCCCTAAACCTTTACTGAACCTCATAATAGCCAGAGATCATGAAACGTCCTAAAGTCTCCTTGTCTCATTTCATCCTCAAAACAACCCGCTGAGGGAATTTAGCATTACACCCTTTTTTTTTTTTTTTTTTCTTTTTGAGACGGAGTCTTGCTCTGTCGCCCAGGCTGGAGTGCAGTGGCCGGATCTCTGCTCACTGCAAGCTCCGCCTCCCGGGTTCACGCCATTCTCCTGCCTCAGCCTCCGGAGTAGCTGGGACTACAGGCGCCCGCCACCTCGCCCGGCTAGTTTTTTGTATTTTTTTTTTTTTAGTAGAGACGGGGTTTCACCGTGTTAGCCAGGATGGTCTCGATCTCCTGACCTCGTGATCCGCCCATCTCGGCCTCCCAAAGTACTGGGATTACAGGCTTGAGCCACCGCGCCCGGCCGCATTCCCATTTTTATAGATAAGGAAACAAGAGGCCTAAAGACGGTAAGAAACGTAGCCATGATAACATAGCTAGTTAGTGGAGGAGATGATTCAATCTGGCTCTCAGCCGAGCTGTTGGTTACAATGCTACGCAGCTGCCACCATAATGGACCAGGAATATGAGAGCAGCTTTCACTCTTCCTTCTACCCCATTCTTGCCATATGAAGATTAAGGGTCTGGGGCCCTGACTCTGCCCCTAAGAGCCCATTAATGGATCTCAAATTCTTTTCTTTTTTCTCCTTTTCACTAATCTCTGGATCTCAGGATGGAATGACTTCAAGGAAGGGAGATTTTGGCCTTCGTCACACCCCTTTGCAGGGCTTACCCTGGCAGCGACAAACTTCCAGGGACAGTTTTCTGTGGACTGCACCTGACATGGATGGTGGTTGATCTCCCAGAACTGCAGGACTGGGTCACATCATTGGACCTGCAGAGAAAGCCAGCCCCCAGGGGGGAATGAGTCACTCAGCTGTGTTCCTGGACAGCCACCAAGTGAAATCCGCATGGAGCAATTCCTTTGCTGGGGAAGTCGGGACTTGGGCTTTAGCCTGGCACACAGGGAGTGCACAGGCCTTGGATTATATGTGGAAAGGGTGGGGATCAACAATATGTAGTCAAGGGGGAAATGCCCTGGTTTAGGAAAGTCATGGCTAGCATCCACTGGAGCCTGCTTAGGCTGGAAGGGAAGTCCACTGCAGATCATCCAATATTTCTCCTTGCCTCTAGGGCAGATCTGCTCCAATAATATCCAAGAAGCTGGGATCAGGAACTCCCAGCCTTTAGCTATCATGACTGGGCAGATCTGCTAGACCTCAGACATGTTCTGGCTTGATAAGCAGTAGGTGACTAGAGAGGGAGGGATGCAGCAGAAATTATGGAGGAGTCCTAGGTTTCACTTGCAGTAGCCTAGCCTCTCATCTTCACCTATAAAAGAAGATCACGTCCGGTATTCCCAAGGACTCCGGGTGGAAAAGTTCAGCGGGGGAGGTGATTCCATCCAGAGTCATATCTGTTGTCACCCCTGCCAAATCAGAGAGCTCCTAATTAATTCTCGCTAGTAGCATTAGCTGGCAACCACTTCAATTCTTCCAATACCTTCAACATCCAACCTCACTTCATCTCATCACATCCCTGATTGACTTATGAAAGGGTGAAACAAGGGTTTGTCAGAGTCCCCGGGAGCACTTTGCACACAGAGTGGAATAGAAAACACAGGTCAAGAGGTTGGGCCCCTCATGTGGGGCCTTTTACCTCCCAGCCTGGTAACCTCACACTCTCCTACACATACACACACACACGTACACACACTCTCTCTCTCTCTCAAACAAGGCTGAGGCAGCAGAGTTACTCACCAATAAGTCGGTCAGCAAGGCTGACAGGCTGTGAGGAAACCCCGGCCTTGTAGCCTGTCACCTCTGGGGGGATGATGACTGCCTGGCAGACGTAGGCTGTGATAGATTTGGAGAACCCTGACTCACCCTCAGGAATCCGGAGGTCAGTGACATTGTCGGTGCACACAGACATTTTCCGACCCTGGTGGGGGAGTGGGGAGGAAGAAGTGGGAAGAAGTGAGTGGTCACAGAGGAATTCCCAGAAGGGAATAGGGAAGGCTTTTTTACATCTAAATTTTCAGCGTTCCAATGGTATGTTGCAGGGGAATGATTCGTCCCAGGTCTAATGACGAGATAGATTTGATTTTCTGGTTTTGTTTTGTTTTCTTTTGAGGCAGGGTCTTGATCTATCGCCCAGGCAATGGTGCAATCATAGTTCACCAAAGCCTTCACTTCCTGGACTCAAGCAATCCTCCTGCCTCAATCTCCCAGAGTGTTGGGGTTACAGGGGTGAGCCACTGTGCCTAGCCAACATTTTCAGTGTTATACATTTTATTATAAATGGTGCTGGCCGGGCGCAGTGGCTCACACTTGTAATCCCAGCACTTTGGGAGGCCGAGGCAGGTGGATCCTGAGGTCAAGAGATTGAGACCATCCTGGCCAACGTGGTGAAACCCCGTCTGTACTAAAAACACAAAAATTAGCTGGACGTGGTGGTGCGCACCTGTAGTCCCAGCTACTTGGGAGGCTGAGACAGGAGAATCGCTTGAACCCGGGAGGCGGAGGTTGCAGTGAGCGGAGATCATGCCACTGCACTCTGGCCTGGCAACAGAATGAGAGTCCACCTCAAAAAAAAAAAAAGTGCTAAATCTGGTGTCTCAGCCTTTTTTTATTTTTTTTTTCCTAGATTGTAAGTAGATGAGCTTGAAAACTGAAGGAAACCTTTACATTACAATAAAATAAAAAGTTCTATAGGCCAGGCGCGGTGGCTCAAGCCTGTAATCCCAGCACTTTGGGAGGCTGAGACGGGTGGATCACGAGGTCAGGAGATCGAGACCATCCTGGCGAACACCGTGAAACCCCATCTCTACTAAAAAATACAAAAAACGCCGGGCGCGGTGGCTCAAGCCTGTAATCCCAGCACTTTGGGAGGCCGAGATGGGCAGATCACAAGGTCAGGAGATCGAGACCATCCTGGCTAACACAGTGAAACCCCGTCTCTACTACAAAATACAAAAAACTAGCCGGGCGAGGTGGTGGGCACCTGTAGTCCCACTACTGGGGAGGCTGAGCAGGAGAATGGCTAAACCTGGGAGGGGAGCTTGCAGTGAGCTGAGATCCGCACTGCACTCCAGCCGGGTTACAGAGCGGACTCCGTCACAAAAAAAAAAAAAAAAAAAAAAAAAAAAAAAAAGAGTTCTTCTGTCTTGAACTAAGGATCTGTATGTGGCAGTACACCATAAGCATTTCTAAACAGGAAGGAGAAAAATTATCTGGGCGCGGGTGGTCACGCCTGTAATCCAGCACTTGGAGGCCGAGGTGGGCGGATCACAAGGTCAGAGATCAACAGGTAACCTCTTAAAAATAGAAAAAATTAGCCGGCGCAGGGGCGGCGCCTGTAGTCCCAGCTACTCGGAGCTGAGGCAGGAGAATGGCGTGAACCCGGGAGGCGGAGCTTGCAGTGAGCCGAGATGCGCCACTGCACTCCAGCCTGGGCGACAGAGCGAGACTCCGTCTCAAAAAAAAAAAAAAAAAAAAAAAAAAAAAAATTATCTGGCGTGTGGCGGGCACCTGTAGTCCAGCTGCTCGGGAGCTGAGGCAGGACAATGGCATAACCCTGGAGGCGGCATGCAGTGAGTCGAGATCGCGCCATGCACTCCAGCCCGGCGACAGAGTAGACTCTGTCTCAAAACAAACAAAACAAACAACAAAACAACAACAAAACCCAGAAATACACAGAGAAAGGTTTTCCCTTCCTTGAAAAGCAGTCTCAGCAATCACTGCATTTGTCCCTTGTTTCCTAGAGGCTGGATAAAATCAGCGTTCATTTCATCCACATGTCCCGGCCAGCATGAAAGAATCTAAACAGGAAAGATAGAGAAAATAAAGTACCAAATACCATTTCCCCAAATTCCCCACCTTTGTTGCTCTCCATAATTCGCTGAATGACACTTTTGCTACATGGAGCCTGCTTTATTCAGTCTTATTTCCTAAGTGATCATGACCTGTTACTCCTGAGGCTTCATTTTAACTTCTTCGAAGACTTCTGAAAACAAGATAGAGACACCTATCTCTAATCTTTCACAGGTTAGTTTCTTTCTTGACATGTTCTCTATATAAACACCCATCAACTTCTTTGCATGCTGCAGAGGATGGGTCAGAGCTCTATGATGTAAAGGCCTTACCACCAACAGAGTCAAAGACTAGATGCTCAAGATGCACTTTATATTGTAATTTTTTTTTAGATGTAGTCTTGCTGTGTTGTCCAGGCTAGAGTGCAGTGGCACGATCTTGGCTCACTACAACTACTGCCCCCGGGTTCAAGTAATTCTCCTGCCTCAGCCTCCCGAGTAGCTGGGACTACACACGTGTGCCACCATGCCCAGCTAATTTTTCTATTTTTAGTAGAAACAGGGTTTCACCATATTGGCCAGGCTGATCTCGAACTCCTAACCTCAGGTGATCCGCCTGCCTTGGCTTCCAAATTCCTAGGATTACAGGCATGAGCCACCGTGCCCAGCCTATTTCGTAACATTTGAAATGAACTTTCCCACTGCTAATTGTGGCTTGCTTGCAGTTTAGTCAAGTGCAGCGGTGGGATTAACCTTTGCATTTCTGCCTTTGAATTTTGGATCTGAAATATTTGCAGCAGCATGAAATGGCTGATGGTGACAATCTTTCCTTATAAAGCATTTCATGTTACTTTCTTTCATGCTGTCAGCAAAGAGACATGTGGATGAAATAGAAACAGCTGATTTTATCCAGCCTCTAGGAAACAAGGGACAAATGCAGTGATTGCTGAAGACTGCTTTTTCAAGGAAGGGAAAAAAACCTTTCCTCCTGTGTATTTCTGGGTTTTTGTTTGTTTGTTTTGTTTTGTTTTGTTTTTGTTTTGTTTTTTGAGACAGAGTCTCACTCTGTCGCCCGGGCTGGAGTGCACTGGCGCGATCTCGACTCACTGCATGCTCCGCCTCCCAGGTTTATGCCATTGTCCTGCCTCAGCCTCCCGAGCAGCTGGACTACAGGTGCCCGCCACCACGCCCAGATAATTTTTTGTATTTTTAGTAGAGACGGGGTTTCACCGTGTTAGCCAGGATGGTCTCGATCTCCTGACCTCGTGATCCGCCCACCTTGGCCTCCCAAATGCTGGGATTACAGGCGTGAGCCACCACGCCCGGCCTTCCTCCTGCATATTTTTAAATAGACTAATTCTGAGGAAATAAAGGTCAGGTAAGAGTAAAAGAACACCTTATTTTATTTTATTTTATTTTATTTATTTATTTTTTTGAGATGAAGTTTCATTCTTTTTGCCCAGGCTGGAGTGCAATGGCGCGATCTCAGCTCACTGCAAACCTTCACCTCCCAGGTTCAAGCGATTCTCCTGCCTCAGCCTCCCCAGTAGCTGGGATTACAGGCATGCACCACCACGCTCGGCTAATTTTTTTGTATTTTTAGTAGAGACGGGGTTTCTCCATATTGGTCAGGCCAGTCTCGAACTCCCCACCTCAGGTGATCCGCCTACTTCGGCCTCCCAAAGTGCTGGGATTACAGGCGTAAACCACCGCACCCAGCACCCAGCAAGAACACATTATTTTAAACATCTATATTTTCTTAAGTGTTTATAATCCTGATTATTTAACTTGAGGGAAAAAAGTCCTCAGGGAGAATAATATTTAAAAACCTTTGAAGCTCCTCAACCCCCTGCTGCCTGAAGGATTTCTGATTTTCTCCTGTGTCTGTCTCTGGCCTCTGATCCACGGGCCTCCCCCATTCAATTCTCACCCTGTCAACTGGTATACCTTACCTGGTTTCCACAGAGACTGAGGGTAAAGTGATGGAAGTATTTCAGCCCTTTGGAAGTGAAGCTTGGCCCTCCAGCAAGAGTGACAGTGTTTGCCAAAGCGGAGAAGTTGTAGTTGAAAGTCCTGGTCGGAGTGTTGCGTGAGAAGATGCAATCGTTGTAGCACAGAGAGTGGATCTGACGGGGAGAGGGACGGGTCAGGCCCACTGGTCAGGCAGGGCCTTGAGGGGCCGCAGCCGAGAATAGCAGTTTTCTCCCCAGTCTGGTCCCGCCCAAATGGGGTCAAGAGGAGGAAGAAAGGATTAGGGGTGACTAGCAAAAGAAGTGAAACAGGCACTAGGGGATTTATGTACATTTGCCATTCAGTTATTAGCACATATGTGATGGACAAACCCAACCCTGTTATTGTTCAGAAGGGAGTTTGGTCAAATTCTATAGCCTTATTCCTGTGCCTAGATTATAGAAGCCTCTCAAGACACAAGAGGATCCTTTTTACTTTCCAGCAGAAGACAATGAGGTACTAACCAGAAAAGGGTATCTGAGATGGAAGAAGAGAAATTTTTCTTGCTCCCTCCTCACCCCCTCACAGGGTAAAACTCACTGAACTCTGCTTCCTGTTTCTCAGGTTCTCTGTAGGAAACTGAACTCAGAAAGGGGCTTTTCTTCCCATAAACCCGTTCATTGCTCTGTTTTAGGGTCACCATTCAGCGGCAGCCGCACACAATTGTCATTCCCTCACACAGCAGCAGAGGGAGCTCCAGGGAAGGAAGGTTGTAGCAAAAGTCCAGGGTACGGGAAAGAGGTTGCCAGGGGTCTGTAGAATCGCTGCACTTCATTGCGCAGATGAACTAGGCCACGTTTGCAGAGTACATATTGATAGTGCCTTACAGGTGTATGTGCGTATAGTTGTGATCAGTAAAATACAAATTCATTTAAAAGCATCGATTAATATCTGAGAGCTGTTAGTCGTAAGTACTTCTCAGATGCAGAAAGTACATGGGGGCAACACTGCTCCCCACTTTATTTATTAGTTTTTTAAGGTGCTTTTTAAAATTTATTTTGTAAATTAGAGACAGGATCTTGCTCTGTCACCCAGGCTGGAGGGCAGTGGCACAATCATGGCTCATGACAACCTTGAACCCCGGGGCTCAAGTGATCTTCCCACCTCAGGCTCCCAAAGTGTTGGGATGACAGGTGTGAGCCACTGCAGGCAGCCTCTTCCCACTTAGGAAAGGAATCCTTATACTTGTAAAGCTGAGAAGCCACTGGGATAGAAGACAGCAATGCCAGTTATCATATGTCCCAGCAATGGTTGGGTTTCTATCTTTCCAAAGAAGGGGTAGATTTCCATAATAACAGGCTGGATTGAACGATGCTGAATATAAGCCACAGGCCCCACCCCACTGTTCCTTCCCTCTGGGTCTCTGCACACCTGCCAAATAACCCCCTGGGCCAGACGGTCACCAACCTGTCTTACCTGCCACTAAAGAGGAGACTTGTCAGTGACTGAGTCCTGGACCCTGGAAATCAAGGCCCTGCTCACCCTCTACAGTCACAGCCTGGATGGGTATCCTCCAGGACTCCAACCTAGGAGTATGCTGGGGGAGCACTTGGGGATCAGCCTCTAAAGAACCCCACCCAGGAGCCAGCATCTTCTGAGCTCATCCAAGCAGAGGGTCAGGTTTAGGATAAATGCCAGACTGCAGGTACCTTGTTGTTCTTGGTCCCTGGACCGCAGGGCACACAGGCCTGGACGCCGTAAGGCTGGTGGGCTTTCAGAATGGTGTTAGGGGGACAGGAGTGGGAGGTTCCTGAATCTCGGTCAATATAGTAACCAGCAGGACAAGAGGTGCAGGAGGAGCCCACATCAGAGGCTTCTAGGGCACAGGGACGGCAGTAGGAGGCCACGCCATTCGTAACATTGGTGACATTGATGGAGTAGATCTTGGCAACGTCATTGGTGTACTTCCTGCTCTGGAGACAAGGAAACAAGAGGGGAGAGGGGAGAGGCCTGAGACAGCAGCAACAATTGAGGCCTCTAGAAAGAGCAAGGTAGTTAATCTTCCATCCTGTGATACTCAAGAAGAATCTTAGAAGCATCCGACTCTTTACTCACTTACCAGTAGCTCTTTATATGTATTTGGTGTCATTTTAAAATCAGACTGAACCATTTATAGGACATATAAAAATATTAAGTACCATGGGGAAAATACATAATATATACTGTTTTATGAAAAAAGCAAGTTTTCTCCTTGTAAAAGAGGCAAAAATGTATTTGTACAGAAACAAACAGTGTATAGGAGATGGTCCAGATGTTAACTGGTTTATCTCTGGGTAGTAGGATTATGGCTGATTTTATTTCTTATTTTTGTTTATTTCTATTTTCTGAGTCTTCTGCAATGAGCCTGTATTCCTTTGAGTTAAGAAAATAAGACCAGAGTTGTTATTATTAAAAACAACAACAAGTGTGGTTCCACATGTATCAGGGCAGGGACTACAAGGAGGGCCAGCTTATTTCTTAGTGTCATCTTTCCAGGAAGTCATCTGGACAGATGAGGTGGTGCTCAGAGGCCTGGGTAGGCAGTTTCCTGCTTGACTCCCTAAGATCCTTCTCACCCTTGGATTCTGAACTTCAGACTGACACTTAAGCTAATGCTAGGAATCCTCCTGCGTTCAGAGGGTCTCCCGTGGGAGCTGAGGGTCTGAGGAAGGGGAGGAACTTACTGCCTCATGAAAAGTGGTCCTCTGGAAGGCCCAGGTGAAGCTCGTGGTCGTGTTCTCCTCAATGATGTAGGTATAGGACTGTTTGCCTTTGGAACCTTTCCACGTCTCCACGGGAGTGTTGGTCCTAGAATTCACACCCTGAACCCAGGACAGACAAGTGAAGAGGGTGCGATGGCCAGAGGGGAAGTGGGTGCCCATGTGGCTGCCATCCCAGGTGCCATCACAGTTGGTGAGACCCTTGTTAAACTGTGAAGTCCCTGCCGGTCAGTCTGGGCCTTTCCTCTGTGGAATCACTACAAGGGGGGTGTCAGTCACATGGACACACCAATGGGGCAGACGGAGTAACCCTACCCTGAAGGCCCTCTAGCGGGCAAAGAAAGGAAAACGTACCACCATGAAGTAGAGCTCACAGTTCACAGAACAGAGGGTCTCAAAGACAAATGTGATTCTGGCCACCTCTTTATTCTCTGTGTCTGCCATCACCGACTGCGGAGGTCTATAGGGGCAGAAATTAAAAGTCAGTTCTAGAGGCCAGGCAGTGCTTACTGAAGAGCCCAGACAACAGCAGAAGGTCTGTCGGGGGATAGGGTTAGGTTCTGAGTATGATGGAAAGTGTGTGGACTAAATCCAATTGTGCCCTCCTAGCTATGTGACCTTGACCTAGCCAAACCACAGTTTCCTCATCTGTGAAATGGAGGTGATGAAATATCTTTCTCACCTACCTGCCATCATTGCAGGCAGACCTGAATGCATGACAGATGTGGTGGTCCTTTACAAAATGCTATATCACCTCACTAGCAGAATATGGTCTACAGACCAGCAGCTCGGCCATCTCCTCGAGTTTATTAGAACTGCAGAACCTCAGGCTCCTCCCAGGCCAGTGAATCGGAATCTGCATGTTAATAGATTCCCAGGCGATTCGTGCGCACATTTAAGTTTGAGAAGCACTTCTATCCTAAGACTGTAAACTGTCGACATTTGCTCAGCAGCTCTCTCTCCAGCACTGGGGAGATCTGCCGGGGTTAAAGGAGCGGAATTTGTGATCCAGCAAAGTCCTCAGTTTGGTCCTCCTTTGGAAAGACAGAGCCATGCCCAGGCAGACTGGGGTGGTAGTGGGGATGAGGCAGCACTTTACTGTGATGATGAGATTTGAAAATTGGAAAGTACTTTTTGAGTGTTATTCCAAAAAGCCTAAAAAGTTTGCTCGCCTTGCAAACACAGGCTTTATCTGGCCAGCTCTGAGTAATGTATGTTAAGGGAAGGCAAACTGAGCACCATCCCAGGGATGGGAAGCAGGGACCTCGAAGGAGGGAATGAAGGCGTCAGATTGGCACTGGGGAAGCACATTCAGTGGCTGCCCCTTATCTTAAAGCACATACGGGCAGAAGAGTTCACTTTGGCCTTGGAAATTCATTCACGGCTTTCCTTTTGGCTTTAGCCATTTCCTGAATTCTGAGGACCTCCAGTTCTCAGCTTATGTCTATGCAGTTGTGTTAACCAGTGGGCTAGAAAAACCATCTCAACCTCAGTGAGTCCTAAATCACACACTGGTTTTATGGATGAGGGTCCCGAAGCCTGAACAGGTGAAGTGACTTTTCCCAAGGTCGCACAGCCAGTAAGCGGCAAAGCACAAGTGCCCTGTCTTCCAGTCCAGTGTTCCTTCCACCACACTACACTGCCAGGAGGTGTGTTTGTGTGTTTGTTTAGTGGGAAACAAATTTTCCTGTTGCCCTGGGATAAGGGGACAAATATAATAAGAACAGTCCTTTCCAATCTTCTTGCCCCAAATAAAGATGAACTGTCTATGGACATTTCTGACCGTATTATTTTTTATTTTTATTTTATTTTTTCTAATCTTAAGTGATGCTGTGTGGTGAAAAAATTGGAATAGCATGTGGCTAATGGAGGGAGAAGCTATACGGGATGAGAGAGCAGTTGGTAAAATCAACACGGACAGCAACTTGAAAAACCTATTAGCATTTGGTTACATTGGTCAAATATGACTGTGCCCTCTGTTCTCAACTGACATTTGAAATGAAATGAAACACAACCCCAGAAGGCCTCTCCTCTACAAGATTCCAAAATACGTGGGAATCGGATATGGCCACGCTGGCCTGGACTCCCCTGTGCTTTGGATTCCTCACCTAAATCCTGGCACAACCAGAGTGAGAATCATGAAGTCATTGTCTGAGGCTCCAGCCGCTGTGTAAATGTGATCACCAGCCACCTCCCAGCCTAAAAAGGAAAGAGAAGAGTTAATGCCTTGTGCTCTTGGGTGCAAGGCAAATGTGCACCCAGACGACACTCTGGAAGGAAGGTTTGACACCATCTTTTGAGGCGCCCAGAACCACCACTGAACATGAACCATGTTACTTATCCTGCCACTTTGGTCAAAGACCCTGAAGCTCTCAGAGCAAGACCTTTGAAGTGCACGCTCATGTTTCTAGCTCTGTTCCTTCCTCTAAAGCCGTCTTGGCAGAACATATGTCCATGAGGAATGGAACTTTCAAGGGAATGCATGACATAGTTAGCTTATTTTTCTCAGACATCACTATTATGAAGAAATGTGAAGTTGGAAGAACTGAGGGTGTGCAGAGAGCTGACAGCTCATGGCACAGGGAGAGGCAATTACCTGTCATGCCCTTGTACTCGAAGTTGATCCCACTGAGAACGGTTGTTTCCATGTTTGTGGGCAGCGTGTTCCACCATTTGTATTCAAATCCCACAGCAGGTTCAGTCCCCGCAGGGCAGTGGGTACAATCTGGGGAACCACAAGATCCATGCATTCAGTGGGAAGGCTGCAGTCACTCTGACTGGAGCTGCTGCCACACAGACAAGTGGCAACAGTCGTGGGCAGCCCACAAGCCTGGCTGCTAAGTACCACTGCAGGAAGTTGTACCAAGTGGACTCAAAAACATTCTGACAATGTATTTAACTAACTCAAGATGTAAACACTAAGCCTTCATTCCAATATGCCAACCATCCTATTTGCCCACCCCAATTTTCATTTCAAAACTTAACTGTATCTCTAGTCTGATACATGTAATTCATATTATTGTCATATTATCATTAAATGCATTCATATTAACAGGTACACAATCATCCCAAGGCAGCATGGCTTATAGGTTTTGGTTGTGTCGAGCTGGTCATCCCAGCCCCTTAAGCCTTCTAGTCAGCATCTCTGCCATATGCTGGAAGCTCTGCTTTGAGGATTGGGCACTTTCAGGCCTGAGTCACATTTGCAGTTGGAGTGAGGAGGAAGGAAGGCGGCCTCAAGTCTGACTCTGACCTGCAGACGAGGCCAGCCCTGACCTCTCTTCTGAATTTAGTCCTCAGAGGTGGCCTGGTCCTTACTGCCTCCCTTGGAAGGGTGGGGTCTGCATTCAACTGGCCACTCTGAGTGCCCACGCAGCCCACCCGCACAGTCGATGTGGGGATGGGTGTGCTGCAGGGAGTGGGGTGGTGAGGAGGTTACCTGAGCCATTGGAGTAGGAACCGTATGGGCAGGGCTGGCAGGTGCTGTTGCTGGTTTTGAAGAAGCCTGGGTTGCAGGGTGGGCAGCTGGTCTTCACACCAGAGGCAGGCAGCTTCACCGCCCCCTCAAGGTCCTCGCTACAGATTTTCGGCTTGGCCCATTTGTACATGAGCTGTGTCTGTAGAAATGGATTAAGCACAACTCAGCCTGTGTGAGATTTAGGATGTCTCTGGGACTCTGCCTTGAGGATGGGGGTTGGGGGTAGAGATCCAGATTCTGGGCCACATAGAGCTCCCCTGGGGTGGGGAACTTTGTGTTGGTCACAGATATATCCCAAGCACCTAGCGCAGTGCCTGATTCCTGGTTGTGCTCAGTCACTGTCTGCCAAATGAATGTTGCTTGGGTGACAAGGAATAGCTCTAATGAAGACTTTATGACACAGAATATGGGACCAGTTGTCTTAGAGAAAGCTCCGATTCCACTGTAGAATCTTATTGCTACCAAGGTCACAGGAAGCGCAGCTGGTGAAAATCCCAGAACACAGAAAGGCACGGGGTGGAGGTGGCTCAGATGCCCCCTGGGGACTGAGGAGGTGGCAGAGATGTCCCAACTTATTTTTTGAGGGGTGCATTCTTTGCTGTTTTATTTATTGGGTAAACGTTTACAGAAAGCCTAATGCATCTATGTGCCAGATCTGGTGCCTCAGAGGTGAATGGAACGTGACCCCTGCACTGGGTGCAGAAGTGGCGGGCGCCTGTAGTCCCAGCTACTCGGGAGGCTGAGGCAGGAGAATGGCATGAACCTGGGAGGCGGAGCTTGCAGTGAGCCAAGATCGCGCCACTACACTCCAGCCTGGGCGACAGAGCGAGACTCCGTCTCAAAAAAAAAAAAAAAAAAGAAATATAGCAAATGCAACTAAGGAAGTGAATTTTTCATTTTATTATCATTTTTTAAATATTTCATTTTTTGAATCAGAGTCTCACTCTGTTGCCTGGTCTGGAGTGCAGTGGTGCGATCTCGGATCACTGCAGCCTCTGCCTCTTGGGTCCAAGTTATTCTCCTGCCTCAGCCACCCAGGTAGCTGGGATTACAGGAATGTGCCACCACACCTGGCTAATCTTCGTATTTTTGGTAGAGATGGTGTTTCACCATGTTGTCCAGGCTGGTCTTGAACTTCTGACCTCAAGTGATCTGCCTGCCTCAGCCTCCTAAAAACCTGGGATTACAGGCATGAGCCACCGCACCCAGCTGAATTTTTCATTTTAAAATGTACATAGCCACACGTGGCCAGTGGCTACCATTTACACAGTGCAGCTGTAGATACTGGAAGACAGCCATGCCACCTTAGTAACAAAATTTGAAGTTAATAAGTAGGCTCATGAGTCAAGTCAGCCCCCCGAGCCTCTTTTCCCTTTTTGTTAATAGCAGAATGCAGTATCCCAATCCCACTCCAAGCTCTTTCTTACCAGAAGTGGGGCATGAGATCCGGGCTATAGCACAACTTCTTCCTGGCCATAGTGACTGGTCCAGGAAGAAAATAAGCAGAGCTCGGATTGTCATAATCCTTGCTTGGAATGTTCTATATTACGAAGTAAAGCAGCTTCTTCAATTTGGAGTTGTAAGGAGGGAACCCTAGAACTGGTGGCCATCATGTTCCTTTGCCACTCTGAGAATAAAACCAAAATTAGGATAAAAGACAGAGAGACAGAGTCTTGCTTCTCAAGTACTTAGATCCAGTCAACCCTAAATTCAGCTCCATCCCTTCTTTTCCATGTTTCGGTGAGGTAAGCCAATAACTGCCTTGTTTATGCTATTAATAGTTTTGAGTTAAGTTGTATCACTTGCAACCTAAAATAGTCTTAATGCAAAGCCCCACTCAGTCTGGGCAACACAGTGAAATAGCTTCTCTAGCCAGGCATGCCTGTAGTCCCAGCTACTCGGGAGGCTGAGGTGGGAGGATTATTTGAGCGCAGGAGGTCAAGGCAGTGAGCCGTGATTGTGCCACTGCACTCCAGCCTGGGTGACAGAGTAAGCAGTTTACTGCACCCTTGACCGCCCAGACTCAAACGATTCTCCCCCCTCACCCTCCTGAGTAGCTGGGACCACAAACGGACACCACTGTGCTTGGCTCTATTTTTCAGAGATGGGGTCTTGTCATCTTGCCCAGCCTGGTCTCCAACTCCTGGGCTCAAGCGATCCTCCCGCCTCAGCCTCCCAAGTAGCTGGGACTACAGGCATGCCACCATGCCTGGCTAATTGTTTTGTATTTTTTGTAGAGACAGGGTTTCAACATGTTGGCCAGGCTGGTCTTGAACTCCTGACCTCAAGTGATCCACCCGCCTTGGCCTCCCAAAGTGCTGGGATTACAGGTGTGAGGCATTGTGCCTGGCCTTGATTTTTAGTAGAGATGGGGTCTACGTTGCCCAGACTGGTCTCCAACTCCTGGGCTCAAGAGATCCTCCTGCCTAGGCCTCCCAAAATGCTGGGATTACAGGCATGGGCCATGGTGCCCAGCCCCGCTTTTTTAAATGAAAAGATTCACCCTGATATGCACTGAAATAAAAAAAATTTTCAGCTAGACTAAGCAGCAAGAATTATCAATTACCAGTAATGGGCATAATATTCTGGGAGGAAAAAAAGTCATAAATCAGTCAGATTCAAGGATCAACCTGTTTAACTGTTCATATTTTATTCCTGTATCAGTAGATTAAGAAAGTAAAATTTTCCCAAGCACTGAATTATAGATCATGTTTATAAGTGGCACACAAAAAGTTAAGTTTCATAAACAATAACATTCAGTGATCTACTTAAATCCAATTGTAATCCTTACGTTAAGCTAAGGGCAATAATAATTTAATACAATAGACTAAATACACACAATACCCGTGTATCCAAAACTACAAACATGGTTTCCATAGCCACATATGGTTTTACTCAAGGACACATTTCCACAATGAACAAGTACTTACAAATATGTTAATAAAACACTAACCCAAATGCTTATCCTGCCATGAGCTTTTTAAGCAATGCCATTCCTGCTACTGAAAGCATTTATTTTTAGAAGCTCGAATCTGATCTGGGAAAACGGGTTCTCCTAAAACTTAACAGGATGTTATAAATCTGAAAAGATTTTAAATCAAAAAGCCTTCCAACACAGCATTATTCATGTGAAACTTGATTTCTTAAAATAACTTGTTATCTGAAGAAAATTAAAACAGATTATCTTTTTAGAGATACAAACATTCTCACAAAAAACTATATTTTCTTCTATCATCTCTTTAACAGAAATGCAAACCAGTTCATTATCTGTATTTGTTATTTTGAGACAGAGTCACACTCTCTTGCTCAGGTTGGAGTGCAGTGGCACCATCTCAGCTCACTGCAATGTCTGCCTCCTGGGTTCAAAGCAGTTCTTCTGCCTCAGCCTCCCGAGTAGCTGGGATTACACGCACATGCCTCCATGCCTGGCTAATTTTTAAATTTTTAGTAGAGGCAAGGTTTTGCCATGTTGGCCAGGCTGGTCTCGAACTCCTGGCCTCAAGTGATCTGCCTGCCTCAGTCTCCCAAAGTGCTGGGATTACAGGCGTGAGCCACCACACCTGGCCTAGTTCATGTCTTTAATAATAAACTAGACAATAAACTAGTTGCTGTCTAAAAACTTCTGACTACATGAAGTACAAGTCTGAGCTGTTGAGTCAAAAATGCCATTTAGATTTCACATATTAAATAGCTACAGTAGGCCAGGCATGGTGGCTCACACCTGTAATCCCAGCACTTTGGGAGGCCGAGGCAGGTGGATCACGAGGTCAAGAGATTGAAACCATCCTCGCTAACACGGTGAAACCCCGCCTCTACTAAAAATACAAAAAATTAGCCAGGCGTGGTGGTGGGCACCTGTAGTTCCAGCTACTCAGGAGGCTGAAGAAGAAGAATCACTTGAACCTGGGAGGCGGAGCTTACAGTGAGCTGAGATCGTGCCACTGCCCTCCAGCCTGGTGACAGAGCGAGACTTTTTCAAAAAAAAAAAAAAAAAGCTACAGTATAGCTTACAAGGGCATAAACATACCTAACAGATAAATACTACTTTATCCTTTAGATAGTCAAAAGTCAGAAGGAACGGCATGGCTTGCAAGATACGTTGACTTATGTGTGGTCATTAAACCCCAGTAAGTAATTCAAGTATGGTAATACAAAGGCAGGCAATTAAATACACCATTATCACTCTAAAATCAAAGGCATAAAAATAAAGGCTGAAAACTTTCTCTATCTTTCATTTACATGGCTAGATATCAGAACCTTACTTTAGAAAATATACAATTATTATATATGATTTCCCCAGATGGTAATTTTCAGAAACTACAAAAAGTGTCAAGATCCATAGTTTGCTTCATCAAATGCTTTTCTAGCTCGTTTCAATTCTTCATTCATAGTAAGCAAGTCTTTAACCCTGGCAAACTTTCTTGGGTCCTTTCGAATCAAGAAGACAATATCTTCAACTTGTACTCGACCTTGTCTTCCAATCGACATTGCCTTGTGAGTCTATTACAAAGAAACATATTATATTTAATTTTTTATAATCTATTATTTTACTGTTTTAATTTGCATTTATTAATTGCAAGTGAGGTCGAAGATTTTCTCTCATTATTATGGCTATATCATGGCTATTCATTTGTGAATTATCTTTCTACTTATGTCCTCTGTCCATTTTCTAGTGGGTTATTAGCAATGTTCCCCTTTATGTTTCACAGGCACTTTAAAAAAATATCTTTTTTTTTGAGACGGAGTCTCGCTCTGTCGCCTAGGCTGGAGTGCAGTGGCATGATCTCTGCTCACTACACGCTCCGCCTCCCAGGTTCACGCCATTCTCCTGCCTCAGCCTCCTGAGTAGCTGGAACTACAGGCGCCCGCCACCACGCCCGGCTACTTTTTTTGTATTTTCAGTAGATACGGGGTTTCACTGTGTTAGCCACGCTTGTCTTGAACTCCTGAACTCAGGCGATCCACCTGCCTCGGCCTCCCAAAGTCCTGGGGGATTACAGGTGTGAGCCACCATGCCCAGCCAAAAAAATAGCTTAAGGACATTAAAACTGTCAACTTTATTGTTCCTTTTCTGTTTTTTTGATATATGTAGATTTTGTCTTCATTTGTATAAAATAATTTTATCATTTTGTGTACTCACCCATTTCATTTATGCTTTGTGTCCTCCTCCATCTTAACACCCAATAAATATTGGTGGATTTTCTAAAAATCAAATAAATCTCATCCCCTGTCATTATATACTCACCTGTGCAAAATTGAAGACCTATCATAGCATTATTTCTAATGACTAAAAAATAGAAGCTAAATACTTAATAATATGGCATTGACCCGGACATAGTGGCTCACACTGGTAATCCCAGAACTTTGTGAGGCTGAGGGGTTAGATCGCTTGAACCCAGGAGTTCAAGACCAACCTGGGCAACATAGTGAGACCCCGTCTCTACAAAAAATTTAAAAATTAACAGAGCTTGCCAGGCGCAGTGGCTCACGCCTGTAATCCCAGCACTTTGGGATGCCAAGGCAAGCAGATCAAGAGGTCAGGAGATCAAGACTATCCTGGCTAACATGGTGAAACCCCATCTCTACTAAAAACACAAAAAATTAGCCCGGCGTGGTGGCAGGCGCCTGTAGTCCCAGCTACTTGGGAGGGTGAGGCAGGAGATGGCTTGAACCCAGGAGGCGGGGCTTGCAGTGAGCGGAGATCGTGCCACTGCACTCCAGCCTGGGCGACAGAGTGACACTCTGTCTCAAAAAAAAAAAACTAAAAAAAAATTAAAAAAAAAAAAAAAGCAGAGCATGGTGGCATATGCCTGTAGTCCCAGGTATTTGAGAGGCTGAAGTGGGAAGACCACTTGAGTCCAGAAGGTCTCAGCTGCAGTGCACAATGATCATGCCACTGAACTCCAGCTGGGGCAACAGAGTGAGATCCTGTCACACACACACACACACAAACGTATATATTTAAATACTGGAAAAGGAGGAGAAAAAAATAAACCTATGTTGGATAATGGCATTATGGGTAATATTTTTATTTTATTCAAGGATTTTATAATTATGTTCTTATAAAAAATGGAAGAGGCTAGGTGCGGTGGCTCACGCTTATAATCCCAGCACTTTGGGAGGCCAGGGCTGGCAGATCACCTGAGGTCGGGAGTTCGAGACCAGTCTCACCAATGAAGAGAAACCCTGTCTCTATTAAAAATACAAAATTATCCAGGCGTGGTGGCACATGCCTGTAATCCCAGCTCCTCAGAGGCTGGGGCAGGAGAATCCCTTGAACCTGGCAGGTGGAGGTTGCGGTGAGCCGAGATCACGCCATTGCACTCCAGCCTGGGCAACAAGAATGAAACTCTGTCTCAAAAAATAAAAGGAAGAAGTGGGGATAGAATATGTATGTATAACCTCCATCCTTAATGATAAACAGTAACCAATAACTTCTGCAAACAAGCACTCAAATGGATAGCTTATTTCAAAGGGATGACATAAGTTCTAGTCTTACCTAAAGTTTAATATTTCAAATCTATTCTTCAATTAAGTAAGACCAGTTAGGAAAGAATCTTACCATTTCAGTGATAAACTCTATGACAAGATCTTCAAGAATATCCACTGACTCAGTGTAAGGATTCTGGTCATCCCCAAAGCCATACATCATACATCGCACTGTAAAAGAACAATCACTTTTCTTTACTTTTACAGATTTAACAATTTAATGCTTTAAAAAAATAAACTAGAAGTGAACCAAGTTATAGATAATATTGGTATAAAAACATATTTACATTGTATTTGTTATCTCCAAGTATGGATTCTGGTGTAAAAGGTTTAAGGACAGTCTGATGACCAGTTGTTCCCATGTAGCCTCCAACCAAACTCTTCCTTCCTCCGAGCTACTGAACCGTAAGGTAAACAGTGTTTTCCTAATCTCTATCATCTACTTACCAGTCCCTGACCCAGCAGAACACCTTTAAGTAGGAAACTCTGGCAGGGGACAGGACAGATAGCAACAGCTTAGCCTTTTTTGGAGGCAGTTTTTGTGTGTGGGCATGGCAGAGGGGCATTGGAAAAAAGGCAGACTCTTTACTGATATTACCATAGGGGAAAAGACATGAGAGAAAGTTCTCCAAATAGGTTTTTTTTTTTTTTTTTGAGACAGAGTCTCCCTCTGTCGCCCAGGCTGGAGTGCAGTGGCACCATCTCGGCTCACTGCAAGCTCCGCCTACCAGGTTCACGCCATTCTCCTGCCTCAGCCTCCTGAGTAGCTGGAACTACAGGGGCCCACCACCACGCCCGGCTAATTTTTTGTATTTTTAGTAGAGACGGGGTTTCACCATGTTAGCCAGGATGCTCTTGATCTCCTGACCTCGTCATCCACCTGCCTTGGCCTCCCAAAGTGCTGGGATTACAGGCGTGAGCCACTGCGCCTGGCCCCAAATACTTTCTTACAGGAAGCAACAGGGTAATCAAAATTAGAAAGCAGAGGGCTTACTACAAGGAATTTTGACATTTCCTAGATCAACACAACTGCTGGCAAAGCCCTTTCAGGCTTCATCGGAGGAAACCATAGGAAATGAAAAAGGTAAGTCTAGGTCGGGTGCAGTGGCCCACACCTGTAATCCAGCACTTTGGGAGGCCCAGGCAACTAGACTGCTTGAGCTCAGGAGTTTGAGACAAGCCTGGGCAACATGGCGAAACCCTGGCTCTACAAAAAAAAACCCACAAAAATTAGCTGGGCGATGGCCGGGATGGTGGCTCACGCCTGTAATTCCAGCACTTCGGGAGGCTAAGGCAGATCACTTGAGGCCAGAAGTTTGAGATCAGCCTGGCCAACAAGGTGAAGCCCCGTCTCTACTAAAAACAAAACACAAAAGTCAGCTGGGGGTGTTGGCAAATGCTTATAATCTCAGCTACTCGGGAGGCTGAGGCATGAGAATCGCTTGAATCCAGGAGGCAGAGGTTGCAGTGAGCTGAGATCGCGCCACTGCACTCCAGCCTGGGTGACAGAGACTGTGTCTCAAAAATAATAATAATAATAATAATAATAATAGAGAGAGAAGTCTAATATACAGAAAAAAAAACTGCAAAAGATAAACCGTATATAGTCCTTATTATATGCCAGGTACTCTCATAAGTCTTTACATATATAACTCATTTAATCCTCACAATGATCCTTTGAGGTAGATACTATTGATTATCCCCATTCTATAGATGAGAAAATTAAAGCACTGCAGTAACTGATTTACCCAAGGTCACAAAGCTAGTAAGAGATGGAACCTGAGTTTGAACCCAGCTGATCTGGTTCAGGTCTTTCCTCATACCCACAACAGCATCGCACTTGTTGGTACTTGTAGTTTAGGACAGACAGGATCCACATGAATTCTTTTTTTTGCTCCCCTTTTTTTGAGCCAGTCTTGGCTCTGTCGCCCAGGCTGGAGTGGTGTTGCAGTCACAGCTTGCTGCAGCCTCAACCTCCCTGGCTCATGTGAGCAGCTGGGACTACAGGCACATGCCACCATGCCTGTGCTAATTTGTGGGGTTTTTTTGAGATGGAAGTCTCACTGTGTCACCCAGGATAGAGTGCAATGGCATGATCTCAGCTCACTGCAACCTCCACCTCCCAGGTTCAAGAGTTTCTCGAGCTTCAGCCTCCAAGTAGCTGGGATTACAGGCATGCGATACCACACCCACTAATTTTTTTGTATTTTTTAGTAGAGTCAGGGTTTTGCCACATTACCCAGGATAGTCCTGAATTCCTGGCCTCAAGTGATCTGCCTGCCTTGGCCTCCCAAATTATTGGGATTACAGGCATAAGCCACCACACCCAGCCATTTTAAATTTTTTCTAGAGACAGGGGTCTCGCTATGTTGCCCAGGCTGGTTTTGAACTGGTTTCTAAAAATTTATTTATTTTTGTTTTCTCGTAGAGACAGGGTCCCACCTTGTTGCCCAGGCTGGTATCGAACTCCTGGACTCAAGCAATCCTCCTGCCTTGGCCTCCCAAAGTGCTGGGATTACAGGTGTGAGCCACCATAGTCAGCTGAGATCCACATAGGTTCTTATCCTATCACCTATAAACTCCCAGTCCAGAGACAAGCCAGCGCTGTGGTTCACGCCTATAATCCCTGCACTTCTGGAGGCCCAAGTGGGCAGATCACCTGAGGTCGGGTGTTTGAGATCAGCCTAAACAACATGAAGGCCGGGCGCGGTGGCTCAAGCCTGTAATCCCAGCACTTTGGGAGGCCGAGACGGGCGGATCACGAGGTCAGGAGATCGAGACCATCCTGGCTAACACGGTGAAACCCCGTCTCTAATAAAAAATACAAAAAACTAGCCGGGCGAGGTGGCGGGCGCTGTAGTCCCAGCTACTCGGGAGGCTGAGGCAGGAGAATGGTCTAAACCTGGGAGGCGGAGCTTGCAGTGAGCTGAGATCCGGCCACTGCACCCCAGCCTGGGCGACAGAGCAAGACTCTGTCTCAAAAAAAAAAATAAATAAATAAACAACATGGTGAAACCCCATCTCTACTAAATATACAAAAATTAGGGGGGCGTGGTGGCGCTCGCCTGTAATCCCAGCTACTAGGGAGGCTGAGGCAGGAGAATCGCTTGAACCCAGGGGGCAGAGGTTGCGGTGAGCCAAGATCACGCCAATGCATTCCAATGGGCGACAGAGGAAGACTCCGTCTCAAAAAAAAAAAAAAAAAGTCCTTGAGACCACCCTAAAATCATACAGAAAAATTTTATACATTATCTGTACATGGGCATTTTTCTGGGAATAATTATAACTTTCATCAGATTCTCAAAGGCATATATGTAAATGGTAAGAAACTCTGTCAAATGCTGCAAGTCTTTTATTATCTTGATCTTAGTAGTGGTTACAAGTATGTGAGTGAGTGTGTGTGTGCACGTGTATACAGTTGCCCCTTAGTATCCTTGGGAGCTTGATTCCAGGACCTCCCGTGGACACCAAAATCTTCAGATGCTCAAATCCCAGATATAAAATGGCATAGTGTTTGCATATAACCTAAACACATCCTATCTATATTTTAAGTCATCTCTAGGTTACTTACAATACCTAATACAATGTAAATGCTATGTAAATAGTTGCTATATTATATTGTTTAGGGAATAATGACCAGGAAAAAAAGTCTGTACATGTTCAATAGAGACACAGGTTTTTTTTCCTGAATATTTTCCATCTGAGGTTGGTTGAATCCATGAATGCAGAACCCATGGATATAGAGGGCTGACTGTATAGTATACATAAAATTCAGCAAGCTGTTCACTTAAGACTTACACAATTTATTGTATCTAAGTTTTATTTTTTTAAAAAAAGGTACGGCTCGGCTCAGTAGCTCACGCCTATAATCCCAGCACTTTGGGAAGCGGAGGTGGGCGGATCATGAGGTCAGGAGATGGAGACCATCCTGGCTAACACGGTGAAACCCCGTCTCTACTAAAAATACAAAAAATTAGCCTGGCGTGGTGGCGGGTGCCTGTAGTCCCAGCTACTCGGGAGGCTGAGGCAGGAGAATGGCGTGAACCCAGGAGGCAGAGCTTGCAGTGAGCCGAGATCACGCCACTGCACTCCAGCCTGGGCAACAGAGGGAGACTCTGTCTCAAGAAAAAAAAATAAAAATTACAAAAAGATACTTGTAGAATACTTCTAAAGGAAGAAATGAGTAAATTAAGAATAATTCCTCTATTTAGAAGAAGTAAAAACTAGTAGAAGTACAAAGAGAAGAAAGTAGGCCAGGCCTACAGAAGAAAAGGGTGACTTGGAAACCAGCCTGAGATAGACATGTCCCTAGGGTTTACACTGGCAAGAGTCTTTAGGTCCAGAAACAGGAGGAAAAAAACAAACACAGGAGCCAATAGTTTTTTGGATTCTGTGCTTTTTTTTTTGCCTTTTTTTTAAAAAAGATAATTTTAGATTTACAGCTGAGTTGCAAAAATATTACACAGTTCCCATATGCCCTATATTCAGCTTCCCCTTATGTTAACATGTTATACAACCATAGGGAGTCATCAAAGCTAAGAAATTAACATCGGTACAAGTACAGACTTTATTCAGATTTTACGAGTTTTTCCACCAATGTCCTTTTTGTTTCAGGTTCCCATACCATTTAGTTGTCATTTCTCCTTAGTTCCCTCTATTCTCTGACAGTTCCTCGACTTTTTCATCTTTCAAAACCTTGACACCTTTTTTTTTTTTTAATGAAACCACTGTTTACAAAAAACCTTGACACTTTTGAAGAATATTGGTCAGTTATCTTGTAGACTACCCCTGAATTTGGGTTTCTTTGATGTTTCCTCATTAGATTGAAGTTAGACATTACCAGGAAGAATACCAAGGTGATGTGTCCTCTTAATGCATCATATCAGGGGTACATGTCAATATACTGTATATTATTAGTGATGTTTTGATCACTTGGTTAACATGGTGTCTTCCAGAATTCTCCATTGTAAGTTTACTGTTTTTGTTTAAATATTTTGAGGAAGATATTTTGTCACTAACATTTTGATGGGCAGAATTCACCAGACAGAAAATATATTTCACTGGAAAAGGGAAACTTATTATATGGGAAGTATGTAAACTGTATTTGGTTAAAGGGACTATAAAGGCATAAACAAATGCCAGACAATGCTTTGAAATTCTATAGGCCTATTGCAACCTCTGCCTCCCAGGTTCCAGTGACTCTCCGGCCTCAGCCTCCCAAGCAGCTGGAATTTTTTTTTTTTTTTTGAGAGGCAGTCTTGCTCTGTCACCCAGGCTGGAGCACAGTGGTGTCATCTTGGCTCACTGCAACCTCCGCCTCCCAGATTCAAGCGATTCTCCTGCCTCAGCCTCCCAAGTAGGTGGGGCTACAGGCATGTGTCACCACGTCCAGCTAATTTTTTTTTTTTTTTTGAGACGGAGTCTTGCTGTGTCACCCAGGCTGGAGTGCAATGGCCAGATCTCGGCTCACTGCAAGCTCCGCCTCCCGGGTTCACGCCATTCTCCTGCCTCAGCCTCCCAAGTAGCTGGGACTACAGGCACCCGCCACCTCGCCCGGCTAGTTTTTTTTTTGTATTTTTTATTAGAGACGGGGTTTCACCGTGTTAGCCAGGATGGTCTCGATCTCCTGACCTCGTGATCCGCCCGTCTCGGCCTCCCAAAGTGCTGGGATTACAGGCTTGAGCCACCGCGCCCGGCCTTTTTTGTTTTGTTTTGTTTTGTTTTGTTTTGTAATTTTTTGTATTTTTAGTAGAGACGGGGTTTCACCGTGTTAGCTAGGATGGTCTCGATATCCTGACCTCATGATCCGCCCACCTCAGCCTCCCAAAGTGCTCGGATTACAAGCATGAGCTACTGTGTCCAGCCCTCGAGTAGCGGAATTATAGGCACACATCACCACGCCCAGCTAATTTTTGTATTTTTATCAGAGACGGGGTTTTGCCATGTTGGCCAGGCTGGTCTAGAACTCCTGACCTCAAGTGATCCTCCCACCTTGGCCTCCCAAAGTGCTGGGATTACAGGCATGAGTCACTGTATCCAGTCCCCCGCAAACTTTTTTTTTTTAAGGTTCAGGAGAACAGATCTTTCATCAGTAACCTCTGTGAATATTCAGGTAAGATAAGGAGAAGCCTGAAGATTCCAAATTCCTGTCATCACAGACTAATCCCACTGGAACAAAGGTCTTTGCTAACAACCAACTGAACATCACTCTGGGAGGTTCTGGTACAAGGATCCCATTCTTATGCTGATATAATAAGTAAAACCACGTAGTGGTATAAGGAACATCAGAGAAATGAAATAAGAAATGGTCAGTTTTAGTGAGGAAACAAAATATGGAAAAAGATTTGGATGGTTAAAAAATAAGAGTATCTGGCTGGGAGTAGTGGCTCATGCCTGTAATCCCAGCAGTTTGGGAGGCTGAGGCAGGAAGATCACTTGAGGGTAGGAGTTTGAGACCAGCATGGCCAACATGGTGAAACTAGTCTCTACTGAAAATACAAAAATTAGCTGGGTATGGCTGGGCAAGGTGGCTCACACCTGTAATCCCAGCACTTTGGGAGGCCGAGTTGGGTGGATCACCTGAGGTCAGGAGTTTGAGACCAGCCTGGCTAACATGGTGAAACCCGTTTTGTATTTTGTAAAAATACAAAAAAATAGCCGGGGCACGGTGGCACATGCCTGCAATCCCAGCTACTCAGGAGGCTGAGGCAGGAGAATTGCTTAAACACAGGAGGTGGAGGTTGCCGTAAGACGAGATCACGCCACTGCACTCAAGCCTGGGCGACAGAGCAAGGCTCTATCTCAGGGAGAAAAAAAAAAAAAAAAAAAAAAAATTAACTGAGCATGGTGGCATGCACCTATAGTCCCAGCTATTCAGGAGGCTGAGGTGGGAGGATCACTTAAGCCCAGGAGTTCAAGGTTGCAGTGAGCTGTGATCATGCCACTGTACTTTCGACCCAGTGATAGAAGAGTGAGACCCTGTCTCTAAGAAAATAAATAAAAATTAAGAAAACAATTTTTCTTAAAAAAAGATATACTGACCCTGAAGCTGGGTATGGTGGCTTATGCTTATAATCCCAGCACTTTGGGAGGCTGAGATGGCAGATCATGAGGTCAAGAGATCGAGACCTTCCTGGCCAACACGGTGAAATCCCGTCTCTACTAACAATACCAAAATAAGCTGGGCGTGGTGGCACGTGCCTGTAGTCCCAGCTACTCGGGAGGCTGAGTCAGGAGAATCACTTGAGCCCAGGAGGCAGAGGTTGCAGTGAGCCAAGATCATGCCATTGCACTCCAGCCTGGTGACAGTGAGACTGTCTCTCAAGGAAAAAAAAAAAAAAAAGATATACTGATCCTGCAGTTTGAAGGACATTTGGGAACTGCTCAGATATAACCCAGCCTAAATAAACCATATGATAAATCTGTGTTGCCTCATCTCTCAATACTTAGATATAACTTTACATAAAGGACCCAGGACTGGAGATGGAGAGCACATTCTCATGCTGTGTTCCAGGGCTTGGCCTGTACCATCAGTAGTAGCAGCAGCTCTCCCTTCCTCGTGTTGCCAAAAAGGGTCAAAACCATCTACTGAGGGGGTAGGATGGAGAATCAATACATTATAATCCCCATGTCATTGCTTATTTTGTTTATTTATCTAATTTGGACACAGGATCTGTTCCGTCACCAAGGCTGGAGTGCAGTGGCGCAATCTGGGTTCACTGCAACCTCCACCTCCTGGGCTCTAGCCATCCTCTCACCTCAGCCTCCAGAGCAGGTGGAACTACAGGAGCGTGCCACCATGCCCTGATAATTTTTGTTTTTTGTAGAGAGAGGGTTTCACTATGTCGCCCAGGCTGGTCGACCTCCTGGGCTCAAGCGATCTGCTTATCTTGACCTCCCAAAGTGCTGGGATTACAGGCGTGAGCCACTCCATCTAGCCTCCAGTATAATGCCTTACACTATTCACGACCTTCTTTTTGAGACAGAGTATTGCTGTGTCACGCAGGCTAGAGTGCAGTGGCATAATCTTGGCTCACTGCAACTTCTCCCTCCTGGGTTCAAGCGAGCACGTCTGGCTAATTTTTGTATTTTTAGTAGAGACGCGCTTTCATCATGTTGGCCAGGCTGGTCTCGAACTCCTGACCTCCAGTGATTCACCTGCCTCAGCCTCCCAAAGTGCTGGGATTACAGGCATGAGCCACTGCACCCAGCTGTTCACCACCTTCTTACTTTGTTCATGGCCTTAGTCCAAAGCCCAAGCCCCAACTCACTTGCTACTCTCCCTCAACACCTGGTGCAGGATCCATTAGTATCTGTGGCTTACAGTCAAAGAAGCCTCTCTTTCTACTGCTGCAAAGGCAAGAGGAAAACTAATGGAGGTATGTTCTTCTGCCCTAAATTAAAACACGAACCACATTTGCTCACCTAAAAAGCAATTTATACACACACGTACACACACATATAATTGGGGTTAGGATTGGTACTATCTGATTCAAAAGCTAAACAGAATTTGATAGGCTAGTCTGAGAATATTGTCACTACAGGGAAACATTCAAAGCAATAAATGTACTTTGAAAGGACATGTCCAAAAGTTTTCATCATCTATAACAAAATCATTGTCAAATACTACTTACATTCTTTAGAAAAAAGCCTCTTTCTTTTACCCTGTCCACCTTCTGCACCTCCTCCAATTTCTTCATTTTCTTCCTCAAACTAAAAAATGTATATATAGAAATGTCAAATAATTGCCTTGCATTTGATATTTTAATAATAACAATTTTTTTTTCATTTTTAACAGGCAACAAAGCCTAAAGGAAACAGAAAAAAAAAAAAGCAAACAGGAAAACTTAGCACTGAAGGAGCCTATGTATCTAGTCCAACTTCCAACTCATCCAAAAATGGCTTCTACAATGTTCCTAACAAATACTCCTACTGCTTCTACGTGTAAGAGTTCTAATGACCATAGGTTTTATTTTTAAACAACTAAGGTGGCCTATTGCTACTGTTACTGTTAAACAGTTGATACTGAATCAGTCTACCTTTGTAGACTTTGTAGTAAGCAAAACTAATATTTACTAAGCATTTGCATATACGGTGCTAAAAACGTTCCTTAGGTAAGCCCGTAACCCTATTTTGTAACAAGAAAACTGATGTTCAAAGTTAAATAACTTGCTTAGAGAGAATGGAGATTTTGAAATCCAGGCTGTCTGACTTTCAATGCATTCTTTTCCCAGTAAGTACAGTTTTGTTAACAATTGATCTGTTGGTTCATAGTGAGCGCTAATAGATGTTAGTTTTGACCTCTGATGATTCTGTACGTGTTTCAGTGTCTGGCAAATACAGACCAAAATCAAGGGGAAAGGGGTCACAAAACCTACTCTTCCTTCATGTCCTTCCCCACTTTCTAAAATGATCAATCCTTAGGGAGTGAAGTCCCCGAATTCTGTCGGCTGAATTGACTAAGGCAAGCAGATCCGATCCTGAACTCTGCCTCCGCTACTGAGCCCGAAGGAGTGAAGAAAAGAGAGGTTCTGGACACAGACGGTCACTCACGGTGGGGTCTTCTTCCTCATCTGCCATCCCACTGGCCCGCCAACCCACAGCGCCCCGCCGGCTGGTTCCCAGCGGGTTACGCTACTTCCGCCGCCTCACTTCCGGTGGCGGGCGGGGCTGGAGCTGGGCCTAGCTGACTGAGGCCTGCTGGAGGACGGTGGTGCTTTCCGGCCTAGCGGCGGAAATGCGACGGTCTTTAGCGGAGGAGGCCGGAGCTCCTCCCTGTAATACTGAAGGAATTGAAAACTAACAAAGAAAAGGAAATCACGGGCTAGGTGGCGTGTCACCCCTAAATTTGCTACTGTGTATTGAATCACGGCTTCCTGTTTGGGGACTGCGAAGCTATGGATCGTAGGAGGGCTAGCCAGCGGTGCTTTATCTGACACAAATGCTTTTAAATCATTTTAAAGATTTGTGGTTCCACCGTTTCTAAGCACTGTGTTAATTATTGGGGATACTGTGCTTCACCACAAATTTCCAAGAGATGGTGTCCCAAGACTAAGCATTTAAAATTTTGTGAAGGTTTTTTTTTTTTTTGAGACCAAGTCTCACTTCGTCGCCCAGACTGGAGTGTGCGGTGGCGCGATCCCGGCCCACTGCAACCTCCGCCTCCCGCGTTCAAGCGATTCTCCTGCCTCAGCCTCCCGAGTAGCTGGGATTACAGGCGTGCACCACCATACCCGGCCTTTTTTTTTTTTTTTTTTTTTTTTGAGACGCAGCCTCACTGTCCCCCAGGAGGGAGTGAAGTGGCACAATCCGGGTTCACTGCAGCTTAGACCTGCTGGGCTCAAGCCATCCTCCCACCTCAGCCTCCAAGTAGCTGGGATTACAGGCGCACACCACCAATGCCCAGCTAGTTTTTGTATTTTTAGTAGAGATGGTGTTTCGCCACATGGTCCAGGCTGGTCTGAAACTCTTGGCCTCAAGCGATCTGCCCCCCTCAGCCTCCCAAAGTGCTGGGATTACAAGTGTAAGCCACCGTGTCCATTGGGGAAGGCTTTTGGTCGGAACAATGGTTGGGAAAACCACAGGCATTGGAAGGCCAGAGCTAGGGATATAAAATATGTGTCCTACAGTGTAACAGATGATGCTACATAAAGAAAATCCCGCAATACACACAATTTCTGAATGTCCTGCTGAACATTCGGTGAGTGAAAAGCAATTATCTGAGACTTGAACCTATCTTTGTTAATAAACACAAAGCATTTTCCCACACTTTTAATGTACGTTGAATTTTCTAGGAATGTTATTGCCCCAAAATTGAATAGTAATTTTGTTTTGTTTGGAATTCATTAAGAGTTGTGTACCATTTCAAGAAATAACGTCACCAAAAGCAACATCACTTGTAATAATTTGAATAGTGAATACTGAAAAAAGAACTTTGATTTGAGGAATGTGAGTTAAATTATTAGGCCCTGAGAGGCATTAAAATGAGAGGCAATCACATCCTACTTGCCCCCTTTTGAGCTATGTATTTATGTCTTAAAACTGCTTGCTATTTCACAAGTATTAGGTATAAATTAGCCTAATTATGCCCCACCAGACACTATATCCTACGCCTATAGCTTGATAATGTTTAGCCAATCACTAATCAATGTTATTTTTGTAAACCAATGAGAATTCCTTAAAGACAACTTTGTATCAGCCCACTCCCCGTCCTCATTCTTTTCCTTTAAAAATCCACTTGTACCTGCTGCTAATCTTAGAGTGTATTCTGGGCCACTTTATGCTGCTGAGTTGCAATCTTCAAGTTTGGCCCAAATAAACTCTCTATTTACATTAATTTTGCCTCAGCTTCTTTGTTTTAGGTAGACAATACTCACTCAAATCAGTCTGCATTCAAAGTAATTCTACATATAGGTACCAGCATCTGAAATCATCATTATACCTCGTAGTGCCATCGTGCCTGAGTATTTATATATTGAAACATATGTTGGCCGGGCACGGTGGCTCATGCGTGTAATCCCACCACTTTGAGAGGCCGACGCGGTCAGGAGATCGAGACCATCCTGGCTAGCATGGTGAAACCCTGTCTCTACTAAAAAATAAAACAAAAATTAGCCGGCATGATGGTGGGCACCTGTAGTCCCAGCTACTGGGGAGACTGAGGCAGGAGAATGGTGTGAACCCAGGAGGCGGAGCTTGTAGTGAGCAGAGATCGTGCCACTGTACTCCAGCCTGGGTGAGAGTGTGAGACACCATCTCAAAAAAAAAAAAAAAAAAAGATACATTACTATTTTTACTTTACTTTTATATTACCTTTATGCCTGACCTCCTGGACACTGGATCCTGTTAGAGTATTATGTTATTTTCATAATTATGTGAGTAGGTACATATATTAGTTATTTATTGTTGTGTAACAAATCACCCCAAAACTTGGTAGCTGACAACAAATATTTAACACACAGTTTCTATGGGTCAGCAATGTGGGTGCAATTTAGCTGGGTGCCTGTTGCTCAAGGTCCCTCCTGTTGCAGTCAGGATGTTGGCTGGGGCCACAGTCATACCTCAAGTGTTGATGGAGGAGAATTTGCCAGAGTCACTCACAGGTTGCTGGGGGTTTCAGTTCTTCGAGGTTGTTGGACTAAAGGCCTCAGTTCTTCACCGGATGTTGCCCAGAAGCCTCCCTCAGTTCCTTCCATGTAATCCACTCCATAGGGCAGCTCACAGTGTGCCAGTTGCCTTCCTCCACAGGACACAAGTGAGAGAACCCAGAGGACAGAACTCACAGGTTTTTTGTTACCTGATTTTGGAAGTGACATCCCATCATTTCTGCCCTATTCTATTCACTAGAAGTGAGTAAAAAAGTGCAGCTAGGGCCGGGCGCAGTGGCGTAATCCCAGCACTTTGGGAGGCGGAGGCGGGCGGATCACGAGGTCAGGAGTTCCGAGACCAGCCTGGCCAACATGGTGAAACCCCGTCTCCACTGAAAATACAAAAATTGGCCGGGCGTGGTGGCGGGTGCCTGTAATCCCAGCTACTCAGGAGGCTGAGGCAGGACAGTTGCTTGAACGCGGGAGGCGGAGGTTGCAGTGAGCTGAGATGGCGCCCCTGTACTCCAGCCAGGGCGACAGAGTGAGACTCCGTCTCAGAAAAGAAAAAAAGTGCAGCCCAAATTCGTGGAGAGGGGATTACATAAGGGCAAGAATATTGCGCTGGAGATCACTGGGGGCTTTCTGAGAGGCCACCTACCACAGTCAATTATATTATTTTTGAATTTCACTGCATAATAATGGAGACATTGTATTTGTTATTAATGTTTAAGGGAGATTGTTGAGCCTGATAGGGTTGAGAACTGCTTTTAGGTAGTGATCCAGTGTCCAGGAGGTCATGCATAAAACATTCATAGTGTCTGTTATTAGGGGAGTAGATAGGTAAAATATGCTGGATGCACAGCATGGAGTACAATGCAGCAATCAGAAGCAATAGATTTAGCAACATGAGAGAACTTGAAAACAGTTTAAAGTAAAAAAGAAACAAGATCTACAACATAATACCATTTATAGAAATTAAAAATACTACTTATTTTACAGGAATATATAAAAAAGCATAGACATTAAACAGACGAGAAAGTTGCAGTGTAGGAGAAATGGGAATAAGGATAAAAGGAATAAATTGATTAATAAAAAGTGAAGGACTTTGGAAGGGCCAATTGTAATAGTATGCCATGAACTGCGGCATGTGAATAATTCAGTCCTGTGAACCTGAGATCCAAAATACAAAGTTGGGGGAAAAATTGCAGTGTGATAAGCAGAGCAGAAGGAAAACACAGAGTGAAAAGTCATGGTGTGCTTCTACAAGATGTTCTATGTAGGCTGCCAGGGCCAAGTTTGTTGGGTGGGGATGCAGGAAATGAGACTGGATATGCGTGTGAAAGGCCTTAAATGTTTTCTTCAGAGACTGAAATTCAAACTACAGAGTTCTTGGGAAGTCTTTAAACAGATGTGTCACATGACTTTACAGTTTTTAAAAAGATCACTTTAGTGGGGAAACTAGGATGAGAGATGATTATAATCTGAATTAAGGCAAAGAGGAAGAAGGAACTGATTTAAGACAAACTTTAAGAGACAATTTACAGAACTTTGTGACAATGTGAGAGCTATGGACAGAAGCATGGAATGCTATTAATATAAATAGGAAAGAAAAAGGGGAAAGAAGTTGGAAGTGGAAGGAAATGAGTTTAGTCTGTGTTTGAGAGTCTGGAGATGTCCTAAAGGTGATGGAAATCCAGGCCAGGAATTACAGGCCCAGAAATCCACAGAAAAATTAGTACTAGATCTACGCCAGGCACGGTGGCTCACGCCTGTAATCCTAGCACTTTGGGAGGCCAAGGCGGGCAGATTGCCTGAGCTCAGAAGTTCGAGCCCAGCCTGGGCAACATGGTGAAACCCTGTCTGTATACTAAAATACCAAAAAAAAAAAAAGAAAAATTAGTACTAGAGAAAATGACACGGGAGACATCACAAAGTGATAGTCTAGAGATTGCACAGAAACAAAAGCAGAATAGAGGCAAAGGGCACAGCCTTAGAAACAGTACATCAAAGAGACAGAGTGACAGAAGGAATGGTCAAAAAGGCAGGAAAAGATAAAAGTAGGAAAAGGGGAGGAGGAGAGGGAGGAGAACTGAAAACCCAAAAAGAAAAAGTTTCAAAAAGAAGCAGGTGTTGGGAATTTGAGGCGGGCTGATCACTTGAGGTCTGGAGTTTCAGACCAGCCTGGCCAACATGGTGAAAACGTCTCCACCAAAAAAAAAAAAAAAAAAAAAAAAATTAGCCGGGTTTGGTGGCGAGTGCTTGTAGTCCCAGTGGCTTGGGAGTCTGAGGGAGAAGAATCACTTGAACCTGAGAGGCGGAGGTTGCAGTACTGAAGGTAGAAAAGCAGAGAGGAAAGTAGCCTTAAGAGGGCAGTAAAGACTGGGAGCGGTGGCTCACTCCTGTAATCCCAGCACTTTGGGAGGCCAAGGCGGGCAGATCAAGAGGTCAAGAGATCAAGACCATCCTGGCTAACATGGTGAAACCCTATCTCTACTAAAAATGCAAAAACTAGCTGGGCGTGGTGGCACGCACCTGTAGTCCCAGCTACTTGGGAGGCTGAGGCAGGAGAATCGCTTCAACCTGGGAGGCGG